AATACGTTTTTTAATCAATGAAACATTTTTTGAACACATTTTCTCATGCAATAAATTGTTGTGTTGATGTTCAGAATGCCTAAAACAACGTAGTGGAGTGCACTTACTGTGTTAAATTTGCATGACATACATGTTTCAACGTCTATTTCGAGCATCTAGTGGCTTTGTTGGAGTAAATAAGTAAGTATAATTGCACTTATTGTACAATGTATTGAAATATCACAGTAAAAAGCATGTCACCTTGATCCTCATGCTAAGAATTCACCTTGAGCGAGTGAGAAGGGGCGGTCACATTTATTCCCTGCGATCGGTGCAACGATCTCTGTGGATGTAATTGAACTGCTGCATTATGTTTTCTGCTCAGCAGTATGTTCTTCACGCTCTTTGGTTGACACTGTGATTCTGTCGAACTGCACGTAGAATTGGTATAAAGGCAAATATTCCCATTATAGCATCATATAGCAGACTCCGTATGTCTTGTGTCCCGCTGCCACCCCTACCATCTGACCGAGATAGGCTCCCGCTGTAAGGTGCACGTGAACAACCAGGTCAGGAGAATTTCAGCAGCAGTCCTCCTGACATTCTATAGAAATTTTCAGAAGTGCTTGTGTGAAATTGGCTATGCAGAGAAAGGAAATTGAAATGGCCGCTATAGTTGGGGCATTTGCGGCGGCTGTGGCTCAGTTGGTGGAGTCGGTCGTCTCTCAACCGTAAGCTCCTGCAGCAGCATCTCCGCTGGGTCCTTTGGAAGGACACTTAACCCCAAATTGCTCCCACTGCTTCGTCGGTGGCATATGCATGTGTATGAATGGGATTAGTTACTTCTGATGGTCTCACTTTACATAGCAACCTCTGCCATCAGTGTGTGAATGGGTAGGTTTGAAATGCGGTGTAAAATGAGCTTTGAGTAGTCAGAAGACTAGAAAAGCACGATACAAGCTCAAGTCCATTTACCAGAAGTCTGCAAGCAATTATTTTTACCCAGCAAAGAACACTTCCAGCATTTACCTCATTGCAATGTTGTTGACATGACAACCTTTTTATCAAGTTTTTTTCATGTCTTCTGTGTCAATCAGGCAAACTGAATAGGATCTTTGTGGTATCAACTTTTGATCACTTCTTGGCATGAAGACAATGCCTGTGTTTCTCAAACTCCTCCTTTGAACAGATCATTATTATTGTACAGTGTGGCTCAACTTAGCTTTGTCAGAATGTTAACAGTGGGTTGCTTACATGTCAGCAAGTCATATTTCTGCTTTGTAGCTGTGTCAAATACAGGGATATGATTGTAAATTGTGGTCATGTCGTTATAATGCTATCATAATGCTTAAAAATAGTGTTTGTTTTTTCTTATATAACTATAGCCAATGTGTTTCTTATCCTGATTCAAAAAATAATGTGTGTCATATCAGTCTTTATAAGATTATGTTTTTAATACAAGTAAAACTCAAATGTACCTTACATTGTATCTTTTTTACATTTAAACAAATATAATTAATTTCTCCAGCAGCCTTTGCAATGGATTGCGAGCATCGTAGAGTACATTACACTCTTGCTTTCCTTTTTCTTTGTTCTTTTACATTTTCCTTCTTTTTCACTTGTTCCACCTTGGAACAAAGTTCACTGAGAGCTGTTACCCACGTCTCTCGGTTTCTCTGCAGCACAGGCCCAAAGTGCACCAATAAAACATAAACTGGTATTCTCGCCGGTGGATGTTGTTATACCTCCAACTTTAGAGAATTGGCAGTAACAACAATGCGAGCAGTACTGTATACTGCCAAGCCTGAAGCTCTAAAAACTCACGGTCGCTCAGTAAAAACTGTGTATCTCACTGGAAACCACTGTACACCTTTGGGTAAATTTCATCACTTTCCTCTGGTTTTTCTTTGCCTTTTTCACATAATGCAGTTTTCTTTCAGAAGATGAGTTTTAATTAAAAAAAAGAATGAGTGGACCTTGATGATTAGACACACTACATTGTTTTTTTTTTCCTTCTAAGAAATGTTGTCTCTAAAATGGCAATATAAGAAATGCCCCCCCCAAAAAACGCATTCACATTTCTATCAGGAAATAAAGAGAAAAAGTCCATAGTTCAGTGCTTTATCAGTAAAGAGTCACACTCTTTTATGCCTTAATCAAAAGTTTTACTTTGACATTCTGACATTTACTTTAAATGTGGTATTCCTCGGTGTGATTGAAAATAGCTTTGAAATACACAGGGCTTCAGTTTGATTGTAAAAGAGCCTCCATTGTCTTTTGAGTGTGATCCACATGAGGCCAGGTCAGAGTTAAGATTTAGCAATAAAGGATCCTGGCTGACCTACAGTGTCTTGGTCCAAGATTGTTCAGTGGGATTTCTGCTCGCTGAACTGATGCTTAAATATACAGAAACGTCTCAATACTCATTTTTGCACCTTATGAATGATGGTGTAATATCTGCAGTGGCAGTGAATGTGGTACCCTTATATCTTTGCTGACCTTGAATTGTCATTTTCATAACACAGACCCCCACTCGTATACCCCCCCCCCCCACACACACACACACACAACCAATATGATACCGAATGACCTTAATTAATTACATCTCTGTATTTCCATCTGTCTATCTGAAACCCCCTCTGGAGTTATCTGCTGCCCAGAAACATTAAATATTCATTTCTTCATCATTTTAATATTTAAGTCAATCAAATGGATTGCACCAGATAAAACTAACAGCAATTATCTATGCAGTGATGGGGATATTTATGTAGTGTGATGAGTGACAGTTGGTGAAATATGAGGCTGAATGTCTGCCGCTCTACCACTTCTTTGACAATTTTTCATTTTTGTGACAACAGTGCGTCTGTCAAGTCTTCCCTTAACTTGAAAGAGAATTGCTGGCACAGCTTATGAAGAGTTTTACAAGTGAGATATCCACTTCTAACAAAAAATGACACAGACCCTTCAACGTGGCTGACAACATAAGATTTAAAAGATGTGGTGCTACAAAATATAATGCTGTGGGTAAAGTGGCTAATGAAGCTAAAGGAGCAGATTAATATTTTTATTGAGAATGAACAATACTAAGCCTTTACAGTTTTGGCCTCGATGTTGTGTTGGCTACTTGGATACCATCTACACTTTATAATCCTGAATAGAGGCTAAAATAACTCTGAATTTCTGCAAATATTACAAACATAGCAATTGTTTGGCACTTCCTCTGTTTGCAGGAACAAGTAGTACGATACATCTATTGGAGAAAATGTCTTCCAAGTTTTCCAGATGATCTGCAAAAAAAAAAATGGAAATCATAAATTCTCTATAATGATAAATTGTAATTATGATCAATGTTGTAGTTGCTTTACTGATGCTCAAAGGTTTGGTTTACGTTTACCTATAAATCATTTATGACTTGGTAGAAATAACTGTGGTTTCAGGGGCACTGACTTCTTCAGATCCTCATTATTTATTTTGAAGATAAAGAAAAAACAACAATATCTGGCATCATATTTTACTCAAGAAATGTATTTCTAGCTTAGTCTGTCATAATGAAAACACAAAAGTTGAAATTAAACTATAGGATGATGCATAGCATAAGATGATAAGATAAGATAAGATAAGATGATATAGCATAAGATGCTAAAATTCTCCATATAACTCCAAGAGTGACAGGTGACAATTTTGTACTTTTAAACAATCACTATTTAAATAAAACCTAGATTAAGTTCACAAAATATATCTTTCTTCATCCATGTGCTTGGCAGAAAACAAGACTAGTATCTAAAGAATGATGTATCATATGTGTAGTAATAACCATGTGGCTGTGGGAAAATATGCTTAAGTTGGCAAACACTCGGCAACATTCAAAACCACTAAATGTAAAGAAAAACCTGTAGCAATTTCAGAAACGATGCAAATTCAAAAACCACATGCAATAGTCCAAAAAAAAGCAACTTCTGAAATGTGCTGCAAATGAAAAAAAAGAACGTGCTGCAAAAGGCAAAACAACTCCATTCACACCAAACATGCTGCAAATCCATAAACTATGTATAATCACAAATATTCAGAAGACATCTGCTTTAACACAAACTCTGCAAATCAAGTTCATTATTAACAAGAGAGACTGACGGGGACAAGAAAGGGATACCATTTGTTAGATTGGGGAAATGGCATGCTGACAACTCTATGAGGGTAACATTAAATGTACAGCAACTAAGAACTTTAAAGCAAGTCTGAAAAAAAAAATTTGAAGACTGGATTTATAGTGTTTGTCTTTTTGCAGTCGTATTCTGGATAAGTGTGTTTTTGATTATGCATCATTCATTTATTTGCCTCGTGTTTGGTGTCAATGCGGTTGTCAACTTTTTCAGTTAGTAAGTTTTAATTCAATACCTTTGTTTTGGACTTCAGCATGTGCTTTTGATTTTGCATTGTTTCTGAACTCTTCTTAATGTAACTCATTAAGGCCGTTGCCGAGCCTTTACCCTCATTGGCCACTGTACACAAGTGCACTGCAAAGAGCTGCAAAACTTCCACCAAAATACACTGATTTCAGGCGGTTGCATCATGAATACAATTAAATTCCAATTAAGTGACTGACGCTTTATTCAAAGGCTTAAAGCACCTGCATGTGTTGTCTCTTTGCAGCTGTCAAAGTGCAGTCTTGCAAAAGGGTAACCAACAAAGGCTCAGACTCGCTTTAATCAAGTTGATTCCAGATTGCTTGATTTGGAGGCATAAACACCTCTTGTGATCCAGTTCTGTGCATCACATTTCATTTCTGCACCACCTACTCTCATCTTCTGCGGTCGGTTACTTTCATTTGGTCTCCGCTCTTCATAGCATGTAAATATCTACAAATCAAATGTGCATTCACTAACGCACTTGGAATGGCAGGTGCCCATAGGCTGGTGGTGCATTACTGTGCTGCGATGGGTGTTTTCACGCGTCACCAGTGGGCGCTTCTTCCTGCGCACAAAGAGAGCAGAGCCCGGGGATGCGCACAATGTGAGCCTCCTCTCAGAGGCACCGCGGGTCCTCTGTGCTTCTGCTCAGTATCTTGTTAGTGTAATGCGAGGAAGTCGAGTAAACAGCACGTTGTAGCGTGTCGTCCCCAAACAGAAAACTCGTTGATTGTGGAATATACCGCGAATGAGGATTACGTTTATCACATCCTTAAAGACCGAGAGGCGCGTTTCAGACGGAGCAAAAATTAAGGGCAAACCAGCAAATCACTGCTGGAGCAGAGAACAACCTCTTCTTTGGCTCATGAGAGGACAAGAGTTGCTTTGAGAAATGTTATCCGCTCACTTGAGCCGGAAATAACACAGCCCTAGGATACTGGAATTACAACCAAAGCAGTTTAATGAAGAGGAAAAAAATATATTCTATTACAGGTAAGTAACCAATCATTAGACGTCTCTGGCGTGCAAACTCCTTATTTTACTTTTTAATTTTTTTTTTACATTTTATTATGAAATGAACTCTTAAGTTTGTCATCTTTATCTTGTCAAAAAATGTACGCTAGCAAAAAAAAAAAAAAACTACATGTGTCCAAAAAAGAAAATAATCTAAATTAGTAGATGCTGTTTCTGTTACAATTTAAGAAAGCGGCAATAACACAGCTTGTATGCTTAGGTGGGTCACACATGCATGATGCTGATAATTGCGTTTCCAGATGAGCCTCAAATTGTTTGAATGGTTCTGTTGGGATTTCTACTGTTGTGGCTCATTTACCTCATCTAGGACAAAGTCCATATGGTGCTGCTGTCTTCTGTCCGGATGAAAAAACAGCATCAAGAGCCGGCCACCTGAAGAAAGGCTCTCTCTCTCTCTCTTAACTTACTAGAGACAGAGAGCTTTGTGCTCATTCTTATTTATTTTATTTTTTTTAAGAATCTGATTTATTTTTTAATTGAATCTGTACTGTGAAAATCTAAATTGTATTATTTGTAATGCATTATTTTTTAAATCTTGCAGGACTTCAATAGCTGTGAAAAAAAAAATAGAGGAGTGTGAAAATAAATGAATGAAACAGCTCAGGTTCATCAATTTTTTTTGAAGAAAATATTAGGCCCCCAGCGGTCTGTATGCAAGTATTTGTTTTCCCACCCAGACTGTAAAAGGACAGACCCAACAGAGTGAAAAATACCCAGAATCCTCAATCTTCAAAGTATCCTACTGTTCAGCAGGGACTGGAATCATTCTTCCCTCTATTCATGTTTATTTATAGATCCTTTGCACATATTTTGAGCAATAGCCAAATGAGAGGTGAAACACATCTTTGAAGCCATGCAGTGAATTATTTTATTACACAGCAATATCCAGGACTCCAGTGCAGGGATGAGTTTGTAGCACCATTTGCTTCAAAAACCCTTCTTTTTTTTTTTGATTGAACCAGAGTGGCAATTACATGCTACAGCCAGTTTCTCTTCCAGGGAGGTGGTGAAATGGATTCATAGCACAGAAAATATGTAAAAAGCCTGCCTGAGTGTCTCCTGCTCCTCATCCTTGACCTCCAGTCATGTATTTGTGGCTGTATCTAGAATAAGGTTGAATGGATGTGCCTGATGGGGGTATAGAGAAATGGATTGCTGCTCCCCTCTCTTTTAAGTGCACTTACTCTCCTGCCCCTGTGTTAGGCAGCAGCCGAGGGATGCAGTTGTGTTTAACGTTGAAGGGAGTCTTTGGGGGGGGGTGTCCGGCTGTCTTCCAGGGATTCTATCATTTTACGCATGAAAATACACAGCTGTATAATGTCTAGAGAGTGTTCTGTCCAGATGCTTATTTCTACGGTGGTAAACAGATATTTGGAATGAAAAAAAAAACAGGTTGAAATAGGTTACCAAAGAGTGGGAGAGAACAGATTGCATGTGTTTGTTTAAATACCTCACAATGAACTAGAAACACTAAGAGGAGTTTCACAGGCAGATATACTTGTTCACCCTTTTATTCATAGCTGTGTGTTGTCCTCAAGCATTCCAACGTGACCTTAGCCTCAGTTCTAATCATGCTTCCTTATTCATACATGCAGAGTGACATGTCAGTCACATGTGTGAAGTGTGTTCTTTTTTTTTTTTTTCTTTTTTTTTAGTGTGCAAGGCTGTGCTTGAAATGAAGTGAAATGAAATGGGGGGGGGATTGAGAGAATATGCATTCAAGCAGTTCTTTTATGAAAGTTAATGTAAAAGGATTTGAGATTGGATTTATAGAATAATAACATGAAATGTCCTTGTATTGGAAACCTCATTAAATGTAATTTACCATGGGGGTCATTATATAGGCCTATACTCTAACAAGATTATGCAAAGTTACTGTACAATCAATAATACTGAAAACCCTCTCCTACTTTGCTTCTTATGTTCATTTCACTTTTTTTTTTCTGTAGCCCATGCCATGAAAGGCAGACATTGAAGACGGCCTTCGTTTTGTTTATAACTCTTTTGAATCCTTATTGGCTCATGTGAAATGGACTTTCACAGTCAGCCAGAGTAAATTAGGAGGAATCAGTGCACAGTTGATGGTGAATTCTTCATTCACTTGCCGAAGCAGCTGTGTATTCAGATGGAGCCCGTCTCTGGTGACTGATCCTGCTCTCACTGATTCATTTAACGAAGATGGCAGCAAATGGTGATGAGGACGATGAATTGTGTAAATGAATGTATATTCTGTTTTGCATTCCATTGAGTCTAATCATGACACAGAGATGTGATATATCTAGATCTCCCAACTCTGTGTACCATGTGTGATCTGAATACAGACCTTAAGCATGCAAACCCCCCTATGATACTACCTCTCTCCTCCCTCCCTCATTGCAATTATGCTGCCCTCGCGGTGGGGAATGGATGCCTTTAACCACCTTTCCTATCAATTATGTGCCAGACAACAGCCCCACTAAGCAAGAAGTCATCTAATTTACTCTGCAATGTGTTGAGCCAATGACTTTTATCAGGTTTAGCGTCTTTGAAGGGGAAAGTGTGACGCCTCATTACTTTTGGCATTGCATTTTGTTGCTCATCATTTAGGTTGCGAAAGCCAGAGAAAAGAAAACACCATATCACCTTCATTACCACAAAGCCCAGAAGATTTTTTCAGTGTTTCTCTGTGTCTAGGTTTTTTTTCTTCTTTTGCTTGATGTAGAACTATACAAGGCATATACACGCCCTTAAACTGGTGCTGCTCTTTTAGGGCTATAAATGATACAATTCTGTCTGGAATTGTATTTGTTCTTGGCTTTTGGAGCATAATGAGACACTTGAGTTCTCCCCCTGACAAGATGTCCTGATAAGAAATTCTGCAATGTAAAACTGTCACACCCTGCCTACACAATGACTGCAAAAGTGGAGAATAGTGTGCCTTTTAATGAGCTATCAATTCAGGAACTAAACCGACAATGAGGAAAATGCAAAAAAAGAACACATTTACAAACTCCAGAATGAATGTGCTCATTCAAAAAAACACCCATTATATCAGCAGAGACACTGTGTCATTAGCAGTACTGTATAACCCAAACTTGTAAACACGGTCTTTTTGAGGAGATTTCACTCTGGAGCATTGAGGCTATTGTACCATTAGGGCTGGTATACCGCTGTTGGATTGTACAGAACAAGAATGACATTTAATACTGCACTAAAACTGAAAAATGCAGCACCTATTTTATTTTGCTCCAGTAGAATCCCAAACCGTGTAATCCAATGTGATGGGTTTTCAGAGTGGCAAAACGCCCCCTAAATCTTGAAAGACACAAGAAATTCCACTCTGAATCACCTTTTGCCTGCGATTACGGAAAATGAGGAACAATTACAAGCAGCACAACATTCAGGCTTAACCATTTCTGGCTATTAAGTTGTGATAAGGAAAAATAGGTTGATTTTTGCCCCTTGTAGTTTTCTTCTTTATGTCTGCTCATCGTTATGACTCTGCTTCTGCCTCCTTCATTTGAGACTGTTGCTATGCTTTTTACGTAGCCACATTACCACAGTTACAAGTTGCTGAAACAAGTAAGTGGTTAGTATTTAGCTGTTTCAAGAGTTCCAAAGATAGCCCTGGGTTAATCCACATAGCAGTGTTCTGTGTAAGGATGAGAGATTGGGATGAATTCTTAATCCTGAGAGGCGTATCAGTTTCCATTTACTGTGATGTAGGTCAAAGCTTGTGCAAAGCCCCTCTTTTGCCACTGATACTACAATTACAGTCTTAAGGCTCTCCATTCCATCCCTCTATCAGAAAAGTTTTAACGGGGTTTAGGTCGTTGCTCACGCGTTGGATTAGGCATCTTTTGGACCGGTATATCTGTTTATGTTCAGTCTTTATTTCCAAAGAGTTATTTTTGGGCTTTTTATTTCTTTATTTGAGAGACAGGTCAGAGGACAGAGTCGGATTAGGGAGAGGGAGAATCAGGGAGAGAGAGTGGGGGAACGACAGGAAAGGAGCCGCAGGCCGGACTCGAACCCAGACCGCCCCTTATGTGCAGTCTTGAAGTTTAGATGCAACTGATACTAATATTTATGGGGTGGGAGACTGTTGGAGCTATGAGAATAAAATCACAAAATTCATTAATACCAATGTTGTGTTGTGCCATCGAGATGTCTGTCTTTTTGGCTAGGCAAAGGAATTGAATACCTCAACAAGAATATAAGAGATATTCAACAAGAAGATATACAAATACAGAAGTCTGCTCATGCAACATGGCAACTTAGAATGTCTTCATAAGGCTGATATGAAAACTGTTCTCCTGCAATCAGGTACCATTATATGATTGCATTGTCAAATGAACTTGGTTAATTAGTATTGTTTCTCCAACATTAGCATATATTCTACTAAAGATGGTAACAATATCTTTTTGTTTAATGCAGTGTTGGGAAAGTTGCTTGAAATCGATTAATTTATTCTAACTACTCATTTACTTTTTTGATTCTTTTTCTTAACTCAACCAAGAATCTCCAACGAAATAACACACGAGTCAATTGATTTGATTTGTAATTATAGTTTTCAGAATCAATGACCCACTTTAGCTCTATCCGTGTATTTATTATCTTCTCAGCACAGCTTCTAGTTTTCTCCATTTTATTTCAACTAAGAGAACAACAGTCTCGTTAATTTGAATAAAAAATAAAAAACCGGAACAATTTTTGATGGATTAAGCTGGGTCTCTGTAATGAAACAATGACTAAGGTCTTTTACCTGTTTTTTGTTTCTCAAAATTGTCTCGAAATTACACTTGTTATGAATTGGCACTATACAAATAAAGATTAATTGATTTAACTGGATAGCTTCCCTTCTGATAAAGGCCAGCTGCCTCCCCCCTTGCTTTATCCTTTAACTTAAAACATCAAAGACTTATATAACAAACAAGGCCAGCCTCATTATGTCAAAGTCTATCATTTTAAATGTAGTTACTGATATACAAAATATAGACCTTTACACTCGGCGTTACAAAAAGGAAGTCATAATCACTTTGTAAGGCTTGACATATTTTGTAAAGAAGACATTTGACTGTTTTCAGAGGCTACAGGAGTTTCACAGACCCCAAATACCAAAGTGCTAAACTTTCTTATATAGAATTGTTTGTGTCCCCCATTTTAAATAAATAACATGGTTAAAAACAGTAAAGGATGCAACATACATATATCATCTTACTGTAAGTGAATAAACAAGAAAATACTTCAATTCAATAAACTATACAGTATTCTTTAGTCATTTATTTTCTATCTCTGTTCATCTAAAAGAAGGATGCAAGATAAAAAAAAGCAGGTTTGCTAAGATTCTTTTTGCCTCCAAATACATTGTTAAAGTTTAAAGTGGCATTTTGTGGAGTGCTAGAACAGAGTCTGTCAGCTCCTTTTAATAGTCAAATAAGAATAGCAAAGCGTCTTTTGAGGTCAATCATTTCCTTCCTCACTTGTCTTTAAAGCTTCAGAGTTCCGCTCATTAGGCAGGATAAGAAGTGCATATCATTTAACAGCTGTTTCTCTTTTCTGTGCCACCTGAATACCGCACTGCCGATTTGGGTCGGCAGGTTTTTGTGTCGGCTGCTGTTTTCTCCCGACTGCTCTTCAGTTTCCAAAGACTCGCTTCTTCTTTACATTAACTTCAAATACAACCACATAACATGAAACAACTAGAAACTTAGCCGTTTAATGATCATGTTTTTTTCTAATAAGTTGCTTGTCTCATTTTGTCACAATGTCATATTATAATGATTATTATGCTTACTTTCCCTTCAGATTTTAAATCCTGTATTTAAGGAGGAGCATTCCATACACACACAAATGGATGAAAGTGTTACTAGCCCTTGGGACCTAAAGATGATGTTTCCATGGAAACAAATTGTTCTGCTATCAATCACTGGATGCCTTGCAGGTAAGATTATTTGAACTCACACATTAAGTCTCAGATTTCTTTAAGTCATTGTTTATGTAACGACAACATTCCTCCTAAAGTTGTATTTTCTATTTCATATATTTTATCACAGGAAAATGTTACCGCTATCCTTTTTGGGTATGAATGCACATTTGTAAAGCTTCAGTTCATTCATAGCATTGCTATATTATATATAGCGCCATCCATTAGTGAGGAAGAGAAAGAATCAGCGTACTGTAGTGTCAAATATCCTCAGAAAACCCTTCTTCCTGACCGAAAAGGTTAGACTGATAAAACTGCAGCAATTATGTGTACAGCATTTGCGAATGTTGTCCCTCAACACCCCCCTCAGGCAGCGTCCAGCTGCACATTTAGAGCTCAGGGACAACTGGGAGTCCGGTCCGATTCCTGTTTATGGTCTGTCCAGATCATTATCAGGACCCATGCAATGAATACAGCCCTGCATTTTAGCACAATCTACTTGCCACTGGGCTTCATTCTGCCCTTGCATGGACCCCTGGGATTTGAGCAGGAGAAGCAAAGACACTATACCAGAATGTCAACCGTTGTTCAAATTACATTCTATATCTCCATGAATGCTATTCAAATTGGCTCATGGGTATTTCACACCCAGTACTCAAGGGAGTAAGAGCCAAGCAGTTTCACCTTCATAGCGGACAAGTGATTCTAAGCGGGCCTTGGTTACTGCCTAGAAATGCAATTTCTTATACAGTGTTGTTATCGTGTTCTTGAAAACCCTAAAAAATCACTGAGGTTTAGAAAGCAATCATTCAGACATCTGAGGTATGTTCTGTAGATGTCACTTACAAAAGAGACCTCAGCTGTTTGTGTGGAACTAAAATCCAATTTTGCAGTTTAGTTTGAAACTAATTCCAACTTCTCCATAACTCAACTAAATTACTTACCATTTATTTCTCAATCTGTCACTAAGACATATTTATAGTATAAATGATATATGTCTATATTTCTATTCTGTCTTTTAGTTCAAGTTTCAAACCAGGTGTAGTCAAACCTCCACATGCTGAAATCTGTTAGCTGCAGGATCTTCATTAGGCCTACTCTGGGTCGTCTGTTGGCTCAGCCTTCGTTTAGTACCAGATTGTGTTCCACATCCTTTCCTTTTAAGCTGCTGGCAGATGAGTACATCCTTATGGCCTCAATTAACCGGTGCATGCAAAGTATGACATAGATGGTCTGAAAATAGATCACGCTGCCTTATTCATCAACCCTGTAACTTATCAGAAATCATGAAAGAATAGTTGCAACAGTTCATTTGTTTCCCTTGAGTTATCTGCAGTTTTGCTGTGTTTTTAAACCTTAAGGTTTAAAGGGACAATATGTAACTCTCACACATAGCATTTAAAATGAGTACTGAGAGTCCAAAATCAAAATATTGGAGAGAGCTGTTTCCCCCTGCGTCCTAGAGCCGATGTGCATGCAGGTTGCCACTGAAGCTTCAGTGTTGAGCCAGCTCTGCATCGATCTTAAAACATTTCTGCGTTCTAACCTTTCTCCATTTTTCAAAAAGATTTGCAATGTTTATCCTAGTTTGCCGTGTGTCTGGTCGTGGAGCTTATGAAATAAATGCCAAGGCTTTTTAGTTCGGCTGGAGTCAGTTATATCTGAACCAGTTCACTTGCCAGCTTCCATAGCTGCAACACCTGTTATTTTGCCGCTTGCCGAGGGGCCTCCAAAACGGCTGTGTGAGGGTGTCCTTAAACCGCCTTTTCTTCTCTGGTCAAATCAAAAACAAACTTAGAAGGAGGACATACTGGCTACTGCGTTGTTGTGAGAGAAGCTATCCCTTCAACATAGCATGTTATCTTAGCGTCTGATGATATATAAGGTCATTTTATGATTTAATTCAGTAGATATCTTACATAATGGTCCTTTAATGACATAGTCCTTTGTACTGCCATACACTTTCTCCCCTTTCCCCAGCCTGTACAGAGGATGTCATATTCCAAGGGCCAAGATGGAGGACAGAGCCAAGTGACCTCATTTTACCAATCAACACCCCAGACCAGCAGGCTACAATCATATGCGAGGCAGAAGGGAGCCCTTCTCCACAGTACAGGTAAATTACCACATCAAAGTTAGATTTCCCAAAAGCCTTGGCTTGTTTACCGGTTTTTGCTCAATACCAACATCGCATGGTTGAAATCAATTGCTGCTTAATTGCTTGTGCGAATCTTTATGGTGTTTCCACTGAAATCAAAGAGGGAACCAACAGACCTGATTGCTGTTAAGTAGGTTAAGGAACAACCTTTTCTGGATGTTAAATGAGCTTGAGAGACATTATGCACGATCAAACTGAGAGACGGGCCTCAATGAGCAAGGGTCCAATTAATCATCTCTTTTTTTATTCAACAAGTATTGAATATTATTTTCCTGCGCGATGATGTTGTTTTAAATCATTATATATCTGAAATGTTTGAGGTCAACTTTAATAATAATAAGATTTAAGCCACTGCCCATACTGATTCTGTTAATGAAGTCTATAATGCAAGGTGTAAGAAATTATAATGGGAGAAAAGGAGAAGCTAGCAACTCATTTACACAACAGATCCTTTGATATCTCCCAGGCTATTCCCTGGCGGTGCAGTGAGCCTGCCTGAAAATGGCAGCTTGCGGTGTTTTTTGTGGTAGATTGTGTTTCAGAGCTTGGTCAGCAGCATGTAGATGCGGAGCAAGCAAGAGAGAGAGGCAATAACCTTGTGAGTGACATTCTGTTAAATGCGTACATTTCCTATTATGTGTCCGCGCTGAAAACAGGGTTCAGGCACAGCAGGGAAGGGGGGGATGGGATTGGGGTGGGATGGGGGTGGAGATGGGGGTATCATTATACTTGTTATGCAACCTAAGCTCTCTCAGGATGAAGCTGAAACCGTCAGATGCATTATTTCACATTTAACTTGAAACATTCTGTTGCTCACTTATAGAAAATAAAGTACTTATTCTTCTGTGTGGTGTAAATGCAGAAGTGGAAAACAGTGTTGTAGTCAGTGTATAGAGTACCTCTATAAACAAAGCATGAAAGGCACAGAATATTCTGCCCTAAAATGAATCAATAAATAAACATAGGATGAATTTACTATGTGTAGCTCTGCTGTCCTCTATAGATATATAGTGTTTAAGTATCCTCCACCTCACTTTATATGTATATACATATATATATATATCTGGCAGCATCATCATTGTTTTGGTAAAGGCCTGTTACTTGGAACCATCGACCCTACTGTAGGTCCAGGGGCATCAGATGGAAGCTTTTTTTTACTACAAAAGTCTGATAAACAGAATTTAGGCAGCATTCCCAGCACTCACAGCTGACACACTTAACTGGCATAGTCATAGCTTACATAGCACTCCATTGGGGGGAGGATCTTTACTCTCTTTTAATGATGAAGTTTTTTAATGAAGGCGTAAATTACAATTCTTATCAAATTAATCGACTACAGCCAGACAGATATATATATGGATGGATGGATGGATGGATGGATGATGGATGGATGAATGGATAGATAGACTGACAGATAGAGTTTCATTTTTTTATGAAAACAGACTATCCAGCTGCTTGCTTGTTTGGAGGTGATGTATTTCTTATCTGATAATTGTTTATATGCACACAGTTATCCCCCTGTCCAAACAAACAGCTGGATAATACAAGTGGTAAATTAAGCACACAAAATAAAACAGATCTTACCAACTCCTATTGAGGTAAGAGCAAAGCTCAGATAGTTTCTCTGACCTGTCTACCTACAGGCCAGACGGCAGATAATTAGATAATTCAAATCTCTGTCTGCTTAAAGGATTTAAGTCAGAAAACATACGTTTGCATTTGTTGGAAATATTTATTGCTGCAGCTGCAGCTGAACATCGTTTATGTTTGCCGTCTAGGCTCTGACCCCATCACTCCTGGCAGTGATATTTTACAAGCAAGATTTGAGGAGTGATGAGATGATATCCTAAACCCCCAGTCTGAGCCTACGGGGGGGGGGGGGGGGGGGGTCAGAGCTGCAGAGAAGAGCAGAGGGATAGACCAGAAATCTTGCAGCTTTAATAGACTGCCAATCGAAAGGAGGTGTTGTCAGGTGTTTGTGGATAATGACGCAGTGTAAAACAGTGCAGCTCAAGTTGTCTGCCTGAACTAGCAGACAACTATATCAACAACTATAACAACAACAACTATATATATATATAGATAAGTATATCTGGTAAAGAATCGTTGCTTTGTATTAAAAATTCAAATCCGATATGACTGACAGATTTCTGGTAGATATACAGCGTTTCTATTGCTATTGTTTAACTTCATCCTACTTCTCAGTCTGGTGAAGCCCCACTCTGAAGGTGTTTTTCTATAAAACACCAGTTTTCTTGGAGTTGTAGAACCTGACATGCACAGATTTTTCTGACATTCACAGTTTTCCAGAACAGCTTTTGTTTGTATCTCAAAGTCAAACACATATCTCACCATAATTCATATAGGTCAGTAGTCTTCTCTTTGAGGTCAGTTCTTTCAGTTATGATTAAAAGTATGAAACTAGGTTCAAAGGAAATAACTGATGTTTGAGTAAGCAAACTATGACTGCTGTGAACTGGCTTTTCTGGCTGTTTTTTTTTTTTAAATCCCTTTCCATTTCTACCCTTAATTCTACTTGAGGAAAGAAACCATTTTGCCTAATTTGGGTTGCATCAGTTTTTCTGACACTGATCGTCCTAGACTTGTTTCCCTTCAGGCAAGGAGAGGACTTTTTGTCCTGGTAATAAAATAAAAAGCATAAATTCTGTGTGTGTGTGTGTGTGTGTGTGTGTGTTTTTGTGTTTGTGGTTGTGTGCGTGTAATTTTCTGAGATGTAGATAAACTGCTCATGTTCAAACTAATTAAGAGACACCCAGATCCACCAAGTGACCAATTTTCTCATTTATCTGTTTTTACCCCTTTTTGGATAATGAAGCTCTAGACCAGAGGAATACAGCAATATGAGGTGATGACAAAAACATGAGATTGAATTAAACATTGGTTGGGTGTTTTTCTGGAATCAATAAACAGTAAAAACAAGAATTATAAATTGGACTGTCAATCTCACAACAGTCCTCATCACTTTGCACTGATGCTCAGGGACCACAGATAGCCAAATCCATCATCAGAAAAACCCATCAGATCAGAAATGTTTGATGGGAAAAACAAAAATATATCCTGTTAAACATTAAAAAATTACAGTATGATGATACTGAACAGTAATGTAGAGGAAGATAAGTCAATTAAGATTCAGCTTGACATGTTGGCTAATTGACTGAAAGGCTAAAAAAACAACAACTAGCAGATATATTTAAAGAAGTGCATCAGGTTTTCATCTGAGTTTAAGTTTTCATCCTATTGAATCTTGGTTCAAAGATTGTGGTGCTACACTGAACCTCGCCCACATAGTGACACGGTGAATATATGAACAATAACCTTGACAGTTCATCAGTTGACACATCCCGAGTGTAGTGCCACAGGCAGCACACTTTCGGAGTTCAGAGCTGTGCTTTATAAATGCACCTGTCATTGTGTTTACTATGAATCTGCTGTAAGACAGGATCAAGGGCAGAGCAGTGATTGGAGAAGGGGGATAAAAAGCACTCCTACTGGTGTCTACTCTCATATAATGTTACTTTAGGCATTGCATGACTCTTCATCTGTTTACAGGTCATTGTAGGTAGGAATAAGTAAAACTGGGAGGGTGTGATGACAAGGATTGATTTTTTGTTGTTGTAATAAATGCAGTCGGAGATATAGCCACAAACAAAGACATGCACAAAAACACTCACAATGACACGTGGTGGTTTTCTGGATTTACAGTATATTGTGCTACAATTAACTTGAAGGCTAAATAAACAACAATTTATTAAAAGGCAGCGTCCATAGCAAAGTATCCTGGTCAGCAGTTAACTGCTGTTCCATTATCAGCTGTGAATCGTGTGTGTGTGTGGTTTGTGTGTGTGTTTTCTGCTTGTGTGTGTGCGTGTGTGTGTGTGTGCGTGTGTGTATGTGTGCGTGTTGGTGTGTGTGTGTGTGCGTGTGTGTATGTGTGTGTGTGTGTGTGTGTGTGTGTGTGTGTGTGTGTGTGTGTGTGTGTGTGTGTGTGTGTGTGTGTGTGTGTGTGTGTGTGCGTGTTGGTGTGTGTGGTTTGTGTGTGTGTTTTCTGCTTGTGTGTGTGTGTGTGTGTGTGTGTGTGTGTGTGTGTGTGCGTGTGTGTATGTGTGTGTGTGTGTGTGTGTGTGTGTATGTGTGCGTGTTGGTGTGTGTGTGTGTGTGTGTGTGTGTGTGTGTGTGTGTGTTTTCTGCGCGTGTGTGTGTGTTAGTACAGTATGTGACTTCAAACAGTGGTCACTGCTGTCTCTGTGGGTGTCTGGCCTCGAGGAAAGCTAGGTGAGCCAGTGCTGCAGTACAATCCCTATAGTCTATTTGATGAGGAGACCTCATGCAAAATTGATGTGAACTTCAAGGTCATGGTGAGTTCATTCAGAGCATGCTCAGATCAGGCCGAGCCTGCAGCACAGCACAGCACAGCACAGCGCAGCGCAGCAAATAGGGAATGTTCTTCTGGACACTGTCAGACTTACTGTAAGCTGCTCTCGGCCTGATGGTGTGGTAGATTCAATATGATCAACTTTTACTTGAGCTAACATTAAGACTTATCCTCTGTTTGCTTCACCTTTGTTTTACTGTCGCAGCCAAGGCATTATAATGGAGAAGGAAGGTAACGTCTGTTAAGAAATATTGCTGTGATATATTGTTATTAGTAGTTAGTAGCTAAATATTTATGGATTATTGGCTCTTCAATTTGAATATCCCTAATCTAAATGCATGCAATTTGTGTAATATGGTTTACTTTTAGGACATGACCACTTAAAATGAAGCAATGCTTACTTGTGAAATCCCATAAAAGACCTTGGTATGGACATGATTTGTCAGCATTCACTGAGGAAAGATTTCCTCTAAAAGTTGTTATTTAATTTGCTGGAATTTTGACTGAGATAGAGAAACATCTACAGTATTGCCAGTAGACACAGCGTTACTCATATGTTTTAGTTTGGCAGGACCATTCAGGGTATATCATGGTGGGTTGGTAATCATTTCAGTATCTTCAGTAAAGTAGAGCAAGTGTGCTTAATCTTCACTTTTGTTTTACACTGTCCTCTGGTTAGAATTTGGGGGATTTCCTAGTGTGGTTTGAATGTATTCAGAGATGAATCACCCTATTTATTTTTTTACCTAAATGACTCCAATCTCTAAATAAATATTCAGCAAATAGGATTAATAAGTAACCTTTTTTTTTAAATGATGATCTTAAAAAAAAGCAGCTCATCCTGAAAAAAAGTTTTCAAGAGTTTTATGCAAGAGTGAGAGCCCCATTTACTAAAGGTGTTATGTCGTTGCAGACTATTTGGACTTTGAGTATGGCAGGCAGCACATTTGAACAAAATCCAATAAGATCTGCAAACAGCTGGGAAGAGCACAATGTTATAATAACGCTATATTTTCAGAATGATTCTATTCAGTGTCATTAGAACCCAGCTTGGTTTCTAAAGATGTTAGTTGTGCTGAAGTTTCTTCTTATTATTTTGCCTATGAAGGCTCCCTTGCCTCTTTTACATTTCCAGGTTAAGGCAGGACTTTACCTGTGTTACATCTGGCTCTTAATGTACAGTAAAGGTTGCAGAGGCATATTGTTAGAATAATTCCTGTGGCTGAAGTGGCATCAGAGGTATAACCAAGGCTTAATAGGGGCAAAACAGTGTCACTGTTAATGTTGGAGCCAGCAGGGTGAAACAGCACTGTGTGTGTGTGTGTGTGTCTGAGTTTGTGTCTTTATGTGAAGTTCCTGTTTCATTGTATACACACTTTGCCCTGTCTTTGGACATTAACGGAAACTGAATTTACCGGAAGTTAAAGGTTTCGCTAATGGTTTTTCAAATTAAAGTCCAAGTTAAAAAAGAATAAATGATAAATTTGCTAATTTGTATTGTCAATATACTGTTATCACACCCCCACTTACAATACTGACCCTACTGACATTTAAACCTCATCTCTTTCGCAATTGAATTTATGTTTCTGTAATTGATTCTGTATGATTTAGTGTCAATTTGGTGTCTCTCCCTTTATTTGCCTATTGAGCAGGTCATGACAATCAGGGTGTATGTTTTTTTATATTCCTAGAATTATAAACGTTTTAATGACAAGTCTTGGGCATTCAAAAGGAACGCCATTGTTCAAACCAATGGGTAGAAAAAAAAATGTCTGTGACAAATCCATTCTCATTAAATGATTGGCAAAGACTTGAACTGAATAATGCAAGCTACAAAATGAAAGACTGTGCCATTTGTAGTCTGTCAGGTAGGACACCTGGGAGGTCATCACCGGCTTCAAGACTTCATGAAGCATCATTTTGACTGCCTGTTAGTTTGCCTGAGAAGGAAAAAGATGATACAGATTTTTACCCTTTCCTCATGTGAAATGTAATTTTATACTCCTTAGACAAAAACTCTATATGGCATTCCAATAAATATTTGTTTCTTAAATCTCATACTGAAAAGTATTTTTCCTTCTACAGTCATGATCTGAGATAAAGTCCTGCAAACCTTCAGACTCTCATGACTCTGCTTGCTTCTCTTTTAAACAGCTCAAGATCCCAGTGAACGTAAATGTCCTCTTCTTGCAGCATAAGCATTCTCATTTTGTTTCTGTCGGGACTGTGATTAACTGCTTTCGTTACCTGATCTGAGCTTTCATAACTAAGTATCTTGTGACCTTTCCTTTAGGGAAACGGTCTGTACACAATGCAATATAAAGGTGTCAGAAAGCAATAACTTAGAAACACAGTAGAACACACATAGGCTAATTAGAAAGCACTCAGAGAGTACATTACTCTGCCACGGCTGTAGTCCTTTGCATATGTAATTTCACTTTGCTGCAAAATATTGAGGTATTTTTAATCAGCTTCAAAATGCTTCCAACCATACGTGAGTAAGTTGCAAATATATTGAGCAGATTGGTGTGCTCATTAGGATGTTGATTTTAAATGGAGGTGTAGGCTGTTGCATTGTTGGGACTTTTCTTTCCTTTACAGCAGAAAGCAATTGTGCCCTTGACAAACAAAAACCTAATATAAACTCAGCCTAGTGTCTTTCTCCTATGTAAGAAGAGTGACTTGTTCTGAAAGGTGGACTCACTCTGCTTGTTACATCTGCAAGGCACACAGCAGCATGTCACATTTCAGTTCACTTTCGCATTGAGAGTCAAAATATAATGTTTATTAACTGAGAGGAATTGGAGGCTTGACAAAAACTTTCTTCCAAACCCTTATCTTACATGCTTTTCCCTGCATGCCCGTATAGGTTACAGTCCATCTAAGTTTTTATTTGAATTTTTACAACTCTACTTTTCAGAGTTTAATATGGTATGCTACCTTTTATTACACAGTTTGCCTTTGGCAGCACTGTTCTGCTACTACTAACTTTACAAATAATATAGTTATAAAACTTTTAGTAGGGCACATTTTATCAGAAGTATTTTCATTATTTAACTTTTAAAACATTCATTTTTAACCAAGACTTACACCTGTGACATTTTTTCCATTTTAAATTGTGATTTTGCCTTTTAAATGGTTTTGATTGGAAATATTGCTGATAGATCATAACTTTTTGAAAAAGGTATTTCCAAATTAAGGTACTGGACAAGTGAAGAAATACTTTATACATTTTTTGGAAAACAGCCAATTTTATTTTACTGAAAGGAAAATGTTACTGCAGTCATCTGAATACATCAGAGGAACAGGAATGCTACTTTTCTATTAAATGAATCAGAATTGGCTAGAATGTCAAAACTTTGACCAGCTGTTTGTGCGAAATGCAAATATTTAAAAATAATGGGGATTCATCCTCTGGGTAAGGTGAATTGCGGAACCAAATTTCATGACAGCATCCAACAGCTGTTAAGGTATTTTACCACAACAACTACAGTACTGTCAACCTTGGTAAATGGTAAACGGACTTGAGAGTGTATAGCACTTTTCTAGTCTTCTGACTAATCAAAGCACTTTTACATGGCAGGTCACACCTTCACATTCACAACCGGTTACACACTGATGGCAGAGGCTGCTATGTAACCTTGGGAAAGTACTGACAGGAAAATTCAAGAAAATAATTATTGAAGTCAAAAATAATTATCCTCTGCAAAGTAGGAAAAAATCAATGTCAACACAGTAAAACTGGCTAAGCTTTAGAATATTGCTTTACTCAATATGAAAGAAAAAACACCTTAAGTCACACTGTTTAAAAACTGGAGCTATAACTCTTCCCAGTTTGAAGAAAAAAACATTTCTTCCTTGTTTGCTGTAAGGGAAACTCACAAAATGCACCTTTTTTATTAATACAGAACCCTACTTGTACTATATATATATTATATTATATTGTATTATATATTGTATTGTGCTACTCACCTTTTGTCTTTCCAGCATGTTGTGGGTGGACTGATCATATTGATCTCTGTGAGGAACACACAAGCAACTCTAAAGCGATCAGCTACTGATTGTGTTTGCGTTTTTCCAGATGGTCACTAAACGGAACACTCATTGATCTGGGGAATGACTACAGGCGTCACATGTCTGGGGGCAGCCTGATCATTAGCAACCTGGACAAGGACCAAGACACCGGGGTGTACCAGTGCACCGCCTTCAACACACAGGGGTCCATTCTCAGCCATAGAGCCAGTCTGCAATTTGCATGTAAGTGAGGCTACAACGGATTCATGTTTCTGTTTCGACTCTGGCATATTTCAAACATTTTGCCATCTCTTTGTATTTGCTGAAATATCAGTTTAACATGTGTGTCATGAGCCGAGGCCAAGGCCTTCTTTTTTAATGTACAGTTTATCATTTAACTGCCTTGGAAGAGTTTCAGGAATGTATACGATTCTGAGGGTTCAGATAGTGGCTATGACAGTTTTCTTCCTGCGTCTCAACACAAATTATTCTCACAGGCTCTGATAGCATCAATGCTCAGTCCAATGTGAATGATAGTTTTGCCAAATGATATGCTTGCTCCTGTTATATAAACTTTAGGGGAGACAGTGGCAGAAGTGTTTGCAATTTTGTGATCATGATTATTTTTTTCTTTTCTTTTTTTTCTTTATTATATATAAAACAGACCATGTTCAAATGAGGCAGTGGGTCTGTTTAATGGGTTGGATAGTAGTGCTGTAGAGTGAGGTTCTACCTTCCAGACAGTAACTCTATAGCCAACCTTTCCTCTCCTGATCAAGTCTGCTGACTATTGATCATGTCCCAAGGATAGAGAACCTTTCACTTCCTCTCAGGAGATGGATTGCTATTATCTTCATTGCCCAGTAATGAATCTCACTTGTGGGGACCGGGTGAAGAGCAGACCTGATTGACATTTATTGTCTTCACTAATGTAAGTTAGGGAGGTCTAGGATATCAGCATGGCTGATTCTTAGTTTTCTCCATGTAATGAGGCCACTGCCCTATGATAGAACTGTCATGCCTTCTCTTCCAGCTGCACCTATACACTTACATCTCCCCAAACAATACATATGTGCAGTATAAATCACAGCACCTGTCTTAAAGGATCAATATGTAACTCTGACAAGTAACGTTTAAAACAGGTACTGCAGTCCACTTCAAAGCATTGAAGAGAGCTGTCTCACCATGCACCCTCCTTCCTGAAGTTGAGGCGCATGCAGGTTGCCATATCGCGGACATGAAAGATTCAGTGTTTAACCAGCTCTGTATCGATCTTGAAAACTTTCTGCGTTCGAAGCTCTCTCCATTTTCTCCAATATTTATTCTAGTTTTACCACGTTCTGGTTGTGTAGCCTATTAGAAAATGCAGAGGCTTGTTAAGTTGAGTAGATAGTAATATCTGAACCATCGCTTCAACACCTTGGTGTGGTTTGCCGTCGTATTATTTATTTCAGCAGATATCTCACATATTGTGCCTCTAAAAAAATAGTTAGTTTTATACTGCCTTAAAAAATATTTCATAGAAACTGGCACTCTTTGTTTCATGTTTCATGATGACATAGTCCTTTCATCCTGTTCTATAATAGTAATTTAGAAAATTACAATATTGTTAGGCCACAATTTGTTATAGTTATTGTTTCGTTTTTTTTCAAGTATCATGATTGGCCATTGGGGAAACTCGCAGTAAGACTAAGGTGGGGTGCCACTTTGGCTTTCTCAGTACATTAAGTTAAGAGGACAACTTGGTTACTTCATTTAGTTTCCAGGTGTTGTCATGAGCAACATTCTGGGTGCAATTGCAAACAAATGGACGTCATTAATCAATGGTTTACATGTACGACATGTCAAATTAGTATTTTTGAGAGGTGAGAAAGAGGGAAGTATGCATTGCGATGCAACTTCTGCTTGAAATGTGTTGTTTTATGGCCCTGGAACATTTAGTTAGAGTGCTCTGAACAGTCTTAATTCAGTATAGTTCTGTATTTAAGAAGCAGTGTGAGCTGACTGTTGGGAGGGAACCACTGCCCAATGTTTTCTCTCCATGATCACGTTATAAAAGGTTTTGAATCATGTCACATCGTGTTCATATTTTTTTTTGAGAACGACCAATTCTCATATTTTTGGAAGGAATTTCTCTCACAGTCACCACAGTGACCGATCTATCCGCTAAAGGAAAAGATTATTGTGAAGTGATTACTGTTTGTACATTCTTTGGTTGTATTGAGCAAAAATATCAAATGAAAGATGCTTGGCTCTGATACACGATGTTTAACAAGGAAACTGTTGCCAGTACAAGTGACCATCTTATCAGATCAACCACGATATCAACTCTTCCAAGGTGATCATTTGTCAGTGTTTGTTTAAAACGTGTTTAAATCCCCTCATAGTCAAAAACAAACCCGAAACTAGTTCAAAGTAAAGTGTCAACAGCTGATTGTTGTCCTTTTCCCCAATGTTCAGCAAACACGTGCCTAGTGCAGTGTTACAAACACTGGAAAAACATGATATGACCAGGTTTTAATATAAATATCAAACACACAATAAGGCTGCTGCATTTGCTTGGCTTCTGGAGTGGGGACAAGTGGATTTGCTTAAGAGTTGAACACAATATATAAGAAGGGAAGTTATACTGCAGCTCTATTGCCCGGACCAATCATCTTTGAAATGTAATGGTAGCTCCCTGTAATCTCTAGTCCAGCAATTCTGTTATGGCATAGGCTGCTTCTGCTTTCAAAGGAATCACTGCAGCTACAGTGAGTTTGGCCTCTAGCTCACAGAGTTACAGTGTGTGGTCAGTTCACTCCAGTGCTGCACATTATTCTTCTACTCAGAAGCCAGAGAAGAGTATCCCCTGCAGCACTCAGCCCAGCTACATCTCGACCCTCTTCTTTGCCATTTTGCACTTTCTTGGTGAAGATTACATTCTTTCCATATCCAACAAGAAGTTATTGTGAGCGCTCTGATTGACCTCCTGCCACGTCAAAAACATTGCAGTTATAGTAATCTACTGCTTATTGTTCTGCTTTTGAATCAATCATATGTATTTCCCTCCTGCACCTCTGCCCAGAATCACAAAAGCATTCTGGAGATGAAGTCAGTGGCATCCTGTTGAGACAAGAAGGACATCACATCTGTCTGTATTTCAAGTCAGCCATCTTCTCCTGTGGCCTCCTCTGTGTCCTACCGTGACTTGGCTCTGTTTGATTCCACTGCGGTCATCAGAGAGCAGCTCATTAATCTTACCAGCACTCTTTCCCATTTCTCTCCATAATCTTCCCCCTCCTAATTTCCCTTATCGGTCACACTGACTTTCTTTTGTTTGTGTTTGGAAGGCTTACTCTAGGCTGGTAGCCAGAGGGTGCAGACTGAGTACAGATCAGACTGCGGCAGCTTCTCTTCATCGGTCATGAAGCCAGGGGTGGTTTATCATCCCAGGTTTGGGTTTTGTCTGCCAGCATCTGCTTATTCAGTTGTGTGGGGATAGATTGTACCGAGAGTATTGATAGGAGAGTTAATGCTTTTAAGTGCGAGTTTACACTACATTTAATAATGATGTTACTTATTGCTGCTGGCACGGTAATGTGTTATTTGTCATGCAAGCTCCCTCTCTGTTTGCACAGCCTGTTTGAACCTCTCCGATTCATTTCCAGTGTATGTCTTCTTTGCGTGCAGTGTTGCAGGGTAAACATCACCAAGTCAGGTCCCTCTATTTCATTAGCAACCCAGATGCCAGTGAAGGCTTCACACGCTGTCAGGACTGTCCAATGGCTATCAGTGATGCCATATTACATTTCTAGTGTCTACAATGTAACATCAAAAATATCCTGTGAAAACACATGAGGGAAGTTTGGGGGAAATGATGTCTAATATTTTCACGACTTCTTTTCAAAGAAACCATCGAGACTTCAAATTACATGAAAGCACAGATTCTAGTTGACTTATTTCTGTTTCATTTTTTTTTTTTTTTTTTTGCTGCTGTCTTATTCTATCTCACTCTGTTTTTGGATTTATCAGATCTTGAAAACTTTAAAACTCAAACTGTGAGAAGCTCTGTAAATGTCCGCGAGGGCCAAGGTGTGGTTCTGTTGTGTGGACCACCAGCACATTCTGGAGGTAAGTTTCATTTTTGTTAGTTTGCCCCTTTTGTGCATGTTGTCTGTTAGAGAAAATTACTCTTGACATATGAAAACTGTGTGCATGCTCTTTATTATCACCTTCTTACCTTTAAAACACTAAATCCACACATTATCTGTCATTTGTGTATTGTTTAACTAAGGGCTGAAAATATGTGACAGGAAACAGATGGGAGATTAAGGAGAAAAATAGGTGCGCCACACTTCTTTCAGAAGAGACAGAAAACTGGGGACATGGACAATTGTTGCTGTTGAGCTTGTCTCACTCTTGACACAGTAGCTTGCACTTCGGAACAATCAATTTCTTTCACAAGAGAACAGTTTGTAGTGCAGTGTATTGTGCCGCTGGTCTTTGGGATAATGGGTCAGAGTCCTGTGTGTGAAATACAGTTTGACAGCTTTCCCCTTACATAGCCTTATACACAGTTGGCTCTTGTCTCCGTAGCGCTATTGTGTGTTTTCATATTTTCAGAAGTGAATGAAAGTAAAGCATCTCGAGCCTGCTATCCCTTTCTTCATTTCTTGCCCTGTTTTTCACTCACCCGCTTTTTTTCACTCTTGAATTTAAACCATTGATTTGCTGCATAACCTTGTACTCCACTGGGCTTTATTCTGTGGGGTATTCCTTTTCATTACGCTTCATTGACTTTGAACTCTGCAAAAGCTTTTCTACCCACAACCACATTTATTATCACATCACTCAGATTGTTACTGTCTGTGAGGACGGACCCAAGTTCAGACTCGGATGACAAAGAACTGGTGAAAGAAGATTTATTGCAAAGTTCAGAGGGGAATGATGATAGCCGGCAATGGCAGATGGCAGAAAAGATGAATTGGGAGGACTCAGGACACATGGCACGGCATGATTGCAGCTAGCTGGAAACAGTCGTGGGCATTACAAGCATGCAAGCCAAGCAAAGCAGGATAGTGATGCTGAAAGTGGAAGGGGAAGTTTTGAAAAAGCATATACACAGAGAAAAATAGTTATGAATGAATGACACTGAACAGCTTATGTTTATATCCTTCCAACCTTGGGAGAAACATCAAACTGGTGATGTCTGGATGGAGAATACGAGAGTACTTTTTAAGTTGATGAGTTGCTGTGCAAACAAGAGCTGGCAACTGAAATGCTGCCATCGCATGCAAGTTCAATCTGAAACTGTATGCCCCATTTAGCTCCAACATGGAGGTTGAAGACATGCAATTTTTTAAACAGTCTGAATTGGGCTTTCAGATATGTTTCCTCTGATTTGGTTGATTTGTTTAAGGGTTTAGCCAGTCAGCAGTGATGTTCAAATAAACCCATACATTTGAAAAGGCAGTCAAATCAAATGCAATTGTGTCACTTTTAGGATTTTTTAAATTAAAATAGTTTTTTTGCCATAAGTCACTGTTTCAGTTTCAAACCCCTTGCGTTACCACTCCTCACTTTACTTTAAATTCTGTCACAGTTCATTACAATACGTAGTTCAAATAAAGGTTAGGCTGTCTGTGGCTACAATGCTCATGCTTGCCCAATAAGGAGCTTGGTGTCTACATCACTGCCCCCAGCTCTCTGTCCCATCCAAAGCTCAGGACGCTTGGAGATATGAGGGTCATTGCATACAGCTTTTGTCTTTGAGCCTATCAACTCCAAAATATTAAATCACACAGAACATTGCTTTGCTTTTGCAAATGTGTGCAGTGATCACTCAAAAAGATGAAGTAATTCATAATGGCATGCCTCTTCTTTCTACCGTAGACGTATCACTTCGAAGGGGCTTAATAACATATTTCTACTACCATACTTCAATTCATCCACCCTTTAATCCATCCATCCATTAGTTCATGCCTCCCATGAGGCTTCTATGTCACCCAGGGACCTGGGGAATGGAGGCCATGTGTCAGGGGAGAGCCACTGACGCACTGTAATCCATTTTGTTTCGCTCCCTTTCCTAAGGTCCCGTTTCTTCTGCACTGTTAGCTCTAACATTTGCACTGGTATCGCTTCCAAAGGAAACAGAGATAAGGAAAGAAAAATTGTGTGATGTGCTTATATTTTTAGGCCAATGTTGGGTATCTTCCCATGCCATACAGGTTGATTTTCCTTATACTGTAATTACCGAATTAGTCATGCTCAGAAAAAGGTAGAGCAGTGGAAAAACACTCTTCTAACTTGAATTGTTATGTGTTGTATGGTTGTGTTTTCCAGAGTTGACATTTGCCTGGATCTTTAATGTGTACCCATACTTCGTTCAACAAGACAGTCGTAGATTCATCTCTCAAGAGACTGGGAGTTTGTACATCGCAAAAGTGGAGCCCTCAGACGTTGGCAACTACACCTGTGTGGTTAACAACACTGTTACAAAGGAGAGGGTGCTCAGCTCTCCTACACCACTGGTTCTCAGAAGTGATGGTAAATACTTTAAATGACAAGAAACGTCTATGCTGTACTTCAAATCTTTATCTACTGATGTTTTTTAGACATTTTAATGTCACATTTAGTTTGTGACAGTAAACAATGACTTAACTTTTTGTTATTTCACACACCACTCTTCATTTAGATACATGTTGGACTTCCATTAGAAATAATCCTTCTTAGTTTCTTTTTTATTTTGGCAAATTCAAAACTATTAGTGTTGGCAGTTTTTCTAAAATTTCTAGATCAAAAAGCGGCCTAGATTTGTCAAAAAAAGATTAAAAGTTAAGGGCTCAATTTGGTTGAAAAAAAAAACATTATAACTGTTTTTAGATAACCTAATTGAGCAATTTTCATTGTGGTCAATTAAATATATTCATAAACTGCATTTATGTTCTGATCGAATTTCACAAGTATGTTAGCTCATTTATGATATTTTTACGTGGTTCAAACCAATCAGTCAGAAAAAATAAATCACCTGACTAGACTTACCTATTGTTTGTAACGTATTTAGTGCTGGAGCCCACTTCTTCCAAAGATTTTCAAACGTCAGGTATCATTGTCAGACTGTGAAGGGGGCATTAGGTACATAAGCTGTTTAGTCATAATGAAAAGCTATTGGTAAGGGATGACTAACAATTTTTCGATATTGGTTTGAATGAAACAAAAAACGTTATAATCAGAAAACTACTTATTATTCTATTAGTGCTGTTTTTATTTAATTTTAATTTTAATTTTAATTGAATTTTTATCTAGGCGCTATTTGTGCTGCTCTCTACAAGGCATCCCTTAAGACTTTGTTTTTTTTTGTGAAATACAGCCTATACATTAATGAGTCAATAACAGACATGACAGCATAGATGATGGCTCATTAGCAAAGTGTAATACAGTGGTAAAATGACTCTTCTGATTCTTTAATCTGTGTAACATGTTATGTTAATCATTCATTTAAAAAGGTTATCATCTGTTTGTTTTCCTTTTATAGGAGTGATGGGTGAATACGAACCAAAAATCGAAGTTCATTTCCCTGATACAGTTCCAGCTGCCAAAGAATCGTTGGTGAAACTGGAATGCTTTGCTCTGGGAAAGTAAGCCAGCCTAATTTAATGTGTGATATAAGCTGTAGGCTCTTCCATATATAGTATTACCCAGGATTTAAGAATCCACAAGTGTTACTATATTAATTCTCAGATTCATCAGATCATTGGGGAGTAAGGGTAGCGGCATGCCAGGGGAGGAGAAACCCCAGTTCATTTAAAAACTTTGGAACTTTGACTTAAGAAAGTTTGACAATAATTCACAAGTCACTTGTTTCAACTATCTTTTTTAAGTTCTTAAGTTCTTAACCAAACTATGATTACTGTCATGTTTTGTCCATCTATTGCAGCCCTGTCCCAGAAATAAGCTGGAGGAGAACCAGTGGTATCCCATTTCCCACCAAAGTTCAAATGAAGAATTCAAATGCAGTCCTTGAAATCCCTAATTTGCAGCAGGAAGATGCGGGGACATACGAATGCATGGCAGAGAATCGGCGAGGGAAAAACGCTGCACGGGGTCGTGTTTCATTCCATGGTTAGTGTACCGTTTCAGATTGATTGACAGTGAACGCAGGGAGAGGTAGAACAAATGTGTGTCTGCAACGGATATCACTGAATAGAAAATATGTGTGACCAACAGCTGTTTTCTCATTTGTATGACAGAAAACCAATTTGTTCATAGCATGTGGGCCTTAATGAGACTATGAAATGATAGGGCAGGCCATGGTTCCTGGATCAAAATGGAAAAGCGTACTATGAAACAGATTCCTAATTATTTTAAAATCATCAGTATTCAAATCTGCTGAAAATCTCATTGTCCTCATCAAGTTTACAAGACAATCGTTCTGATGACTTAATGCAAGGTTTTATTTACAGCTTTATATTTTTATTATACTAATCTTTACTGATTCACTGCTTCTATGGTTTAGAAGACTGAAAACATAATCTTTTGATTCATCCAAAGCTAAACCTCACTGGATCCAGACAATAACTGACACAGTTCGGTCCATCCGGGATAGTCTTTTCTGGGAGTGTAAGGCCAGTGGAAAGCCCAAACCATCCTACAGCTGGCTGAAGAATGGGGAGCCAGTGACACCTGAGGTATGGATGTCCACAAGACAAAAACACAACTAGATAGGAGATAAGATAAGATGAAGTTCAACTTGGCGTTATATCACTTCAGGTGATGTTTAGGTCCAAAATGTTCTAATAATTCTCAAGATAATAACAAGAAAATACTGATGAGATTTGTTAACAGTTAAAGGTAGTATTGTCATGGAAGTAAGCTGACTTGGCTCATAACTTATATGTTCTATTTGGAGAGTTCAAAGTTCATGCTTTCCACATGTGTCTTTAATTGTAAGTAGCTGGTGTTACTAAAGCTTTGAGCATTACTTATTGTTGCATTACGTTAAAAAGTAACCGAATCATCTTCCATGCTGTCATCACTGAAGTCATCTATAATTTCTTCTTTCCTCTCCTGCCGCCCTCCTCCCTTAACGGCGCACCAATAATTGCTGCTGTGCTTTTGGACAATGAACATGCAGAACTGTTTCTCTTCTCTGTGCAGTTCCGGGTGCAAATTGAAAATGGGGCTCTTTCTATAACGGAGTTGGACCTGTCAGATTCCGGGATGTATCAGTGTGTGGTTGAAAACAAACATGGAACTGTTTATTCCAGTGCCCAACTAATGGTGTTAGGTAAGATTGCATTCCTCCCTCTGCTTTTATCCTGTTTATCTGTCTGCGTGTTTGATCACCACCCAGGATAGGAGTAGACTGCTAAAGCTCTCTTCAGCAATCGTTCATAAGCACATCTGATCTGTCACTGGGCTCTGCCAGCAAAAATATGAATCAGAGAGAGTGTCTCACGTCTCTCTCAGTTGTATCATCATATTGATTTGAAGACTACAAACACATTGCTTTTCATCGTTGGGCATACTAGCTCATGCAGATGTGGTATTGACTTATTTGCAAAGCTTTATTACGTACATCTGAATGGTTCAGTGAGCTATCCGACCCCGCCTTGATACATATGACACTTTCAGGTACAGATAAACAGCTTACACCTATTTGAGATTTGAAGCTAAGGTTGGATATTGTGTTTTAAATTGAGGTGGGGTGGCAGGTGGAACTATTGCCTTCAGCTCAATAGGTTTTTCTGCTGCGTTTAAGATAAGATTTTAGCTGCTAAAGCTGCATTAAAGTCAAAGTCAATATGGCATGTCTGATCAGCAAAGATTCAGATTACTTTACTTCAAAAATCCCATTAAATTCTCTGCTTCTCTCCCCCATGCAGCTTCGCCTCCCAGCTTCTCCAAAACTCCATTAAAGGCCTTGCTAAAAGCTCGATCAGGCACTGAAGTCACTCTTGAATGCAAGCCTGAGGCCTCACCCCCAGCAATTAGCCTGTGGAAGAAAGGGAATGAGATCCTGCAGAGAACTGAAAGGTAGGATAAAAGTTCAGACGCATATTCCTAGCAGCTTTTATTCAGTTGCACTGCAAGACGACTTGTCTGAATATTGTATTTGGCATTTGTGCAGGTGCATAGAATAAAAGGCTAATGAGGAAAATGAGCACATGGCACCCACGGGGGAAATTGCACATGGCTAACATGCTGAAGATGCTGTTGTATCAACACTGCATGCATTAAATATTTAAGAAGATAAACAAATGAAGCTGCTGCTTAAGATAAGTCCATCTTCTTTCTGAGATAAGGAGGTCAAAGAGTCAAATGATGTTTGAGGAGGCCCTGAAATCTAAAGACACTTAAAGATTCTACTCTGGTTGCCTTATAAATGAACCTTTTCTCAATAATATAATCAAATTAACAGTGTAGGTCTTTGTTTCTGTAAGATCCCCCAACATTACGGAGAAAAGATCTAGCTCCAGGTAGAAACTTGTTTTAGACCAGCAAAAAGACCAGCTTTCATCTGATTTTCTAATACCTCAAATATTTAACATCTAGCCAGAAAGTTATTAATTATTTTTTATTGACGGTACCTTGTGATTGAGTCAACAACATCAAACCAGAAACTAATTCCCACGGTATAAGGCAGTCTAAAGTATCCTCCCTTTAAGGTACTGTATGGAATATTTCCCAAGGACCGGTGTGTTAAATAAAGGTGGGTTTTTTTTCAGTTTATGTTTTGTAACCATCTTTGATTTTTTGTTTTATTGCTGGCTGACAAACTAACATTTTAGAATCTCAATCCTTTTTTTTTGCTTTTCAAGTGCATTTTAAGAGCAGAAAACACTTGATTTAAAAATTGGAGAGAACAAAAATTTCCATCCATTTCATTGAATTGGTTGTAGTCCATACGTTTTCCCTCTCCATTAACAAGGTAATTTATATACAAAACACCCTGTTCAAAAAGACTCTTCCAGAAACAGGCTTCTCACTAATCACAATATTTTAATTAAACCATAAAACCTCCTGCAATACCTAATTTCTTCCCTCTGGACGGTTAAATTGAAAGCATAACCAACTCTTCATTACGTTTTTTCATTAGAAGTGAATTTCCCAGTAACTTCTCAACTAAACCCATGTGACAAAGTTGGATTTGCCAAAACTAAAAATACTATTAAAAGGGGAAAAAAATCCCAAAGCAAATAAAATGCAAGAAATGAAACATCTGAGCAATTTATGATTTCTATAGACTTTCCATCTTGCTGGATGGAAGGAGAAGTAGATAGAGATTAAAGTCATTGCATGTCATCACACACCCACTTAGAATCCTAACCAAGAGCAACACACACACACACACACACACACACAGGCAGGACAAGACTAAATTGAATCTTTTCAGCCAAGCTTTTGATTGCTTGATGGTCCGACATTGTCCTCTACTCACAACTTTGTGTCACAAATGATGTATGTGGCATTGGTATAGCAAGTCGTCAGATACCTCACTGAGGTTTAATCCTGAATGATTTATGCAGCTGTAGTTGGAACAGAGAAGCAGATTTGAAATGTACCTGCCTTCAAGAAATCCACAAATCTCAGTAATGTCCAACTTGTTTTGAATGGTTCTTGATCCCCAACCCTACTCTTGCATGAACAGCATTAATCATTTCAATAATCTGACTTTACTTGAATAGAATTAAAGGCTTCACACAATACAACACCCCCAGCCTCCACACAGGAATACATTACTTATTGCTAATAATAATAACACTATTAACAATATTAATAATAATCTGAAACTACTGACAATAAAAAGCAGGAACCTAAGAGGCAGTATATAAACTAAATTACTTAGTATGCAACAACTTTACCAAGATAATTAAAGCTGAACAAGGCCAAAACTGTATGTGTAGACAAGGTCTTAAATTGGGGTTTGAGAATATTTACTTTTTCAGCATCCCTCAGATAGGCTTTTCCAAAGGTGAGGACCCCTGCAATAAAAGGTTGCTGTTCTTACTTTAGGGACTGTTAAAAGACAAAAAAACAAAATACCATGGGGATCGTGTGCACTCAGGAAATATCTTGCTGATGGACTGAACCAAGACCATTTACAGCTTTTTAAACAGATACAAATACCTCAAAATCAATAATAAATTAAACAGAGAGCAGGGCAGACACTTCAAAACTGAATGGTTGTCTGCCGTCTTTCATCATTTGTCTACACACCTTCAGTGCAGAGAGCTACTCTTGTTAATCCTGTAGGAAAAGGACTACACAAATCTTTCTGAACTCAGATGCTATGTATGTATATATATATATGTGAAAATTATTATTATTATAACGAAGGATTTATTCACAGATGATTCAAAGATTTAAGTTGTTAAAAGATATTTAATCCAATGTTTGTGGGTTTGTCGCCCTTAACCTCACTGACAAGGTTCGTCCTAGTAGCCGAGCTATAGCTAAAGGAAGTTCTATTCAACCCATAACACAATATCTATGTTGCAGGTTGAAGGGCATCTATAGGCCGTACACATTAGAAAATTTGGAAATTCCAATTGAGTCAACTTTGATTATTATCACGTAATTTCCAGCGGTGGCCACAGTACATGAAACAAAAAGTGAGTTATATACTGTAGCCTGTTTTCACAGAGCAAAGCCATTATTTTGATCTAGTTGATAATTAATGGTACAAGAAATTACTTTAATCAATTAATATTATGGATGGTATAATTCAATATCACTTACTTTAACATTTTTTGCTGGATAGCACAACCCTTACAGTGCCATGTTTTATGGACAATGCTTTTGTTTATATAGTACTGTATTGCGCCAAAGCTTCTGAATTTTTGTATTAAATTATATATCCTACTAGTCAAAGAACTCACAGCACGAGAGTGTTCTTTTCAACCTCGCAATGCAAAGCCTGTAGGGCACATTTAATCTACTCATTAAATGATTCTGTGCTACTGTTTGTAAAATAAGTCATTATTTATTAATGTGAACCAGTGCTCTTGCCCACCACTGAGCCAGTGTGGCGTTCACCCTGCCTGCTGCTTACCCACAACAAATAATCTCATTTTTGGGTTTGTTAATGGAGTCCACATAAGTCAGTACAGTAAAAGTATGTTCTTCTTTCCTCAGGATTATCTTGCTTCCCAACGGGACTTTGAAGATCGCCAATGTGACCAAACAGGATGCAGCCAGCTACACATGCTTTGCTAAGAATATGTTTGGGGCAGCAAGCACAACTGGGAGGTTGATTATCACTGGTGAGTTCGTCATTCAAGTCAATGGCCATCAGACTACACATACATAGTGCATTTATAGTCTGTAATCACTCAAACTAAGCCCTTGTATACAGTGTTTCTTTAATGATATACATTTATGATCTAAGAGGCTGCTTTCAGCATTTTAAATTTCCATGTGCGCACTAACACTGCAGCAGCTAATATCATGGAACAGTTTAGATAAACCTGACAGGACAGAGGAAACTCTCCAGAGGAAACAGAATTACACTTTAAGCTGCTTAGATTGATATTTTTACACGGTGATGGAGCTCTGGATCCATCGGGAAGATGACTACTCCAGGTGCTTCTGGTGTAATTGTGCAATCTCACACTTCTTTCTGCTGTTGTGAGATCGTTGCAGGTAATATTATAACACGGCAGTGACATGGTGACAGTTCGTTTTATTGCCAGAATCGCTCGTGGAACATAGTGAAAATGGAAGATGCTGAAACGATCACTGCCGTATGTATTTACAGCCCATCTGGTTATCATGGTGCACTTCTCAGTGCTTCTGCCTCCCTGGCCTTAGATGGAGTGAAATGATTCCTTTCTATCTCAGCTTAGTTAACAGTTTTTGTATAACTAACATCTAAAAGTGGGGGGACTCGGTGTCCCCCCTATTCCAGCGCCAGTCACAGGCAGTGGATCTTAACACATTATAACTGAAGTGTTGGAGCCAGGCTATCTGTTTCCTCCTTGATCAAGTCTTTGCTTTACTTCATTAGCTGGCAAGGTGATATCATTAAATAGGATATTTCCTCTGTATTTTGGTAAATTGTAAATAGACTCGAGCTTGTCGAGTCCTTTTGAAGTCTTCAGATGACTCAAAGCACTTTTTACTCTGCAGGCTACATTTACATACTGTTGGAAGAGGCTGCTATGTTATGTGTACACATTCATGCGCTGCGGACGTAGCAACGGGAGCAATTTTAGGTTCAATGGCACTTCTTTATGTGGCTGAAGGAGCTGGAGATTGAACCCCTTACCTTCCTTGTGGAACATGACTGACTCTACCACTGAACCACAGCACAGTTGTTAAATCAAGATCTCAATCTATTTATCTCGTAGTCTAGTTAGTTCTAATTTCCGTCATTAGGTTTGATTTGATTTCTGCCATTTATTCCAAATCTTGAGAAATTAACTCTTTATCACAGGAAAACCTGCACTGTTATCCATAGACAACAAAATTAAAGATTGACGATTTTAAGAAAACAACCAAAATCGTGCATTATCATGGTAAAACTATGTGAAATAAAATGAACTGATGTACGTCCACTGACTTAAATGACAGTGTTTTGAATGAGCTGTGTTTAAGTTAGATGGGCTCATGATGGTATAAAAAGGTTTTAGGTAGAGATATTAACATTCTTTGTTGTCATCTGTTTGGCCAGAGCCCACCAGAATCACCATGAGGCCTACAAACATGGAGATTATTGTTGGCGAGAGCATCGTGTTACCCTGCCAGATTGCCTGCGATCCAGCTCTGGAAGTGTCTTTCTCGTGGGCATTCAATGGACAGCTCATCGACTTCCAGCGAGACAGCGATCATTTTGAAAGAGTGGGTGGGGTGAGTCATCTAAAGCACTAAGCTCAGCTGCTTTCTGGCTATTGTGGGATTAATAGGGATATACTGTGTTATGCTTAAGGGTGTGCTCCTCTGCCTTGATAAGGGATCTTAGACACCAATAATACCCAAGAAAGGAAATTTATGCCAAAATTGGTTCATTTAAAACTTTTCAATGGGTCAATTGTGAATTAAATATAAAAAAAAGATACATATTCACAAAGAATTAAACTCTAATTATTTATTTTATATGCCATTAAAGCCTCAATGACTGTAACTATCAAGTCAGGGTTCATGATCCTTAACTTTTAACTGGCTGCATGAGTGCCACATGTTACACTTTTAAAGATGTAATTGTGAAATGCAGGTTCAGTCATATAGAGGGTCTTTATTCGTAAAGTATTTTTATTTTTATCCATTGAACCTTAATTTACCTTACCTCAAAGGAGGACATGTCTTATCTTCTCCCTCCGCCATACTTTAATTTGCATTCCTTTAAAGATCTTGAGCCCAAAAATAGTTACGTAATGAGCTGACTGGCATTCACCAAGGGCATGTCCTGGTACCAGTCCATGTTCATTTGAAATCCTTATGCTCTGAGATAAAAATGGATAACAATTCATCCTGAAATATTTGTTCCATTTGATGAAGGGCGAGGTCAGTTGTTCAGAATCTGTCATTATAAAATCACTTCACACCCTCCTTTGTTTTTATGTGCCATTTATCTTCCTAGGCCAATTGTCCGATCATTGTTGTTCTTGTGTAAAAGCCTGATATCATATCTGAACGCCCTTGTGGCGTTGTGAATGAAATGTACATTGTTGTGTGCATAGGCATATACTGAGATAAAGTTTTCACAGAATCTGTTTCCCCTGTCCAGAGAGATTACCAGCCCCATGCTCAACAGCTTCTGATGAATTAATTTACATAATTAAAGCAAATCTGCTCATCGCGTCCTTCATGCCAAGCAGGACGCCTTGCTCACAATTGCAAGCTCTCAGGTCGACAGGTGGTGGGTGACATTCAAGAGAGAATCAAACATGGAACAGCCATGCGTAAAAAAAAAAATGTCAGGAGGTGTGAAAGAAGTAAAAAAAGAATCAGAAGACGAAAGATAGCAGGATAGGTCGTCATGCATAGAGGTGCCATTACGCTCAGCTCTGCTTTATCAGATGCTCCAGCAAGGTGGACATCAACAGGTCGTCTTTCCAAGTTGCTGCAGATTGAAGCTAGGATGATAAGCTGCTGAGGGATAGTAAAATCTGCTATGACTGCAGTGAGTTCTGCCTGCCTTAACCCTCTGGTGACTTGCCTCATTCTTTGTATGGGTGTTCTGTGACAGCCCACTTTAACAGGGGGCTTTTAGAAGGTGGATGCAAAGTCAGAATGAGAAAGTAATGATAATGTCTGGATCTGATGTGTTTTTATACATTTTTAATTTGTTCCATGGCATACATTAAAGGTTGATTTTGATGGTATAAAGGGTTTTGTGTAATGCGCTTGGTGCACGGCGATTCGTGTCCACCTATATTTCGGTATTTACGCAGTGCAAAGAAGATGGATTATGTAGCTTGATTATACATAGGTGTGTTTTGGGTGTAACATGAATCAAACCAATCGTTGTCAGATCCCATTTCATTTAAAAGCCACATGCGCCCCTGCAGGCTTGCACGTTGCTATATACTGTACACAGCAGAATTCAGTTTTTATTCTGATGGATCGAACTCCAGCTTGATACTTTAACTTCTCTGCTTTCATTTTACCCCTGAACAGATTAAATAGAACAAACACAGGACAGTGGAATATGATTATGACGGACTGAGGTCATATTTCACTGAATTATTCCCACAACACCAGAAACGATCAGATAGACACGGTGAATATTTCAGCATGAGGCACAAAAGTATATCCTAATTAATTATTAAAATCTCCAGACACGGCGACAGAATCGTACAGGATCTATGTTAACTAATGTTCAGTGTGCTTAACATCAAAATACATGCAGGCTGTAAACCTGGATTTACTTCTTCTCTGCTGGAATGCTTGGCTACATTATCTAATGCGTGGGTAATGAACAGTGTCTACATGAAGATCTGTGGTTGTCTGTGGTATTTATAGTTATGTATAAGATGTATTATGAATCTGACTCTCTGCTGAACTAGAGTATGTGTTTCTGTGTGTATTAGACAGAACGCACACTGGAAGAGAGTACAAGGGACGAGAGCTTGGAAACAAACAGAAATAGAACCAAAAGCGCTCCACAGCCATTAAAAATGTAATTGGAATGTATCAGCAAATGAAATGACGTGTGTGTTTGAATTAAGCTCAGGAGAAATGTGTGGTGAACTCGTATGCCCATTTATCTAATGTTTCCTCTTAATATCAGAAACATGCTGTTGCCACAGACTTTAAACTGTGGACCAGATTTAGGTGCTCTGAGGCGCAGTCCTTTTCTGCGTCCTCAAGATAGGAACGCCCCCAACTTTTCAAGTGACCTCACCTCATTTTAAAACAAACACACCCCTGGGCGCTAACAGGAACCCCCGATCATTTGCTATTTAAACAATGTGAGCGCTGGAGGATTTGCACTGGGCTTACGATTGGGCCCTACGTTGTTTATGTCACACTATACGTATCAGGTTTCACAAGCAACCAAGATTTAGGCAAATTGTGCGTTACACGTGGTCTTTCATTACAGCCACATTGTGGCCGGTTAGCATTGATAGCTATCACAATCATCAACTTGTGATCCTCAAAATTAAACTTTTCAAATTTTCCTTAAAGCAACCACACCTCTTCAGTCAGGAAAGTTGATGAAAAATCACCTTATTATGTTTTGTTGTGTTCCCTCGTGGACATTACATGCAACAGCTTATGTTAATTAATATTTGAAATACACTCATATCTTGCTTGAGCTTATGTAATTACAGAATAATTAGGAATGTCAAAATGTCAAATTGACTGGCCTGTGTTTGTGTTGTGTGTTGAATGTTTAGCTGGTAGCTGTTTGTATGGGGGTTGGGGTGCTGGTTGCTTGGGTATTGCCTGAAGGGCAGCCAATAGCATTGTTTGTGCAGAGTACATCTGCCATGTGTATTTTTACTGTTTGAAGAGGAAAAAAAATCAGTGGCCTAAAGATGATGTAATTGCGCAAAGCATTATAAAAGTGACAACAACCCAGAGCCAAAGGAGAGTGATGACATAACTTAGCATCTCTTACCAAGCCTTTTTTTTTTCAAATATACATTTTCTCTAGAGCATATCAGGGGATCTGATGGTTCGAAACATCCAGCTGAACCATGGAGGAAAATATGTATGTGTTATTGACACTGATGTTGAGAGCCTGTCCACGTCTGCCATCCTGGTTGTCAAAGGTAAGAGAACCTTTTGATTTCAAAAGCTTGCTTTTATATGCTCCTGCATGATTTGATGTAATGGATAGTTCTATTTGCATTATTTCCTTAGAAAATGAACTGTACGATGATTTAGCATGAAACATTTGTAAAAAATGTTCAAAGAACACAAGTTTAATAAAAAAAAATAAAAGAATGAAATCCCCTGAGCCTACCAATCATTGTCTTTGCAATGTAGACACAAGGATACTGTTTCAATCAGAGGTATGAGTTGCTGAATTTCACAAATGTTCCACATTCACACTGGTTAGTGTGACTTCTGGCCCAGTTGGATGGTGCTTGTGATATGCTCTGTTTTTATCCTGCTTACTTAAGTGTATCTGGTGATTTTCATTAGTATTCATGCCCTTAACGAACTGTAATAGCTGTCCCTGGTGCTTTGAGAATGCAATGTTTATCATAGAAAATGATTATAATTGGCTTATTTACACATTGGAGAAATACCATTGAAAACATTTGAATAATTACAGCAAAAAATAACCAACGGACAAAGTCAGAACATGTTACATGTTACAAACAAATGCATTCCCCGTTCTCTCTCTCTCTCTCTCTCTCTCTCTCTCTCTCTCTCTTTCCCTTTTATTTTTCTCAACATTGTCTGCTCCTGTGTGACACCATGCTTTATCATAAAAGATCCAACCCGGTGTCTGGTCCACTGCTGATGAGTCATGTTGAGTTGTCTCTTTGTGGCCTGGCATATCCACACACAGTGAAAGAAAAGTCCATGAATGCACACATATTAAAGATGGCTCTTAAATTAAAGGTACAGAATGGGCTTGACAAGTCATAAAGTGTAAAGAACGTAGGGGGAGCTGCTCATGTAGTGACCATCAGCAGGTGACTGTCATGTGCGAGTCTTCGTAAGAGAGTCTATGTGCTTGTGTTTTTTCTATAAGTCTCTTGTTTTCACCTATAGCCGCAAAACAAATTTCCCCTTGGAGACAATAACCCTGAAGTTGTAGATTTTTAGTTTGAAAAAGTAGTGCACTTTGCTTTACAATGATTGAGCACCTAAGGTTAACCTATCTCATTGTCTAATTGATTTAGGTCCGCCAGGTCCCCCTTACAAGGTAGCAGTGGAGGAGATTACAGACAGCACAGCCCAGCTTTCCTGGAGTCCAGGAATGGACAATGGCAGTCCCATCACTGGCTACATCATTCAGGGCCGAACACCTTTCACTGTGGGCTGGCAGGCTGTTGACACAGGTATCATTAAACATTGCTCCCTATTTATGAACTTTTGTGTGTTTTGATATTTAATTCATGTCCATATTTTAATGCTTTATAAGTATGAATGCCATTTTAATATTTGCATTTAAGTGTCAAGGAAAATACAAAATTCTGTAAAGTTGATGGAGTCAAATGCATTTTTAGGTAAAATAATCAGTTACATTTTGAAATATAAAAGGAAAATTACAATACATTTTCAAATATTACATTTTTCTAACCTGTAGTGTAACAACTTATTTTTCTAAAAAAAACAATTTTCTGCTTTACAGTGCCAGAGGAGATCAGCGGTAACATACTGACAGCAACAGTTGTGGGTCTAAATGCCTGGGTGGAGTATGAGTTCAGGGTGGTGGCACGCAACACTGTAGGCCTGGGGGAGCCCAGCCCAGCCTCAGCCAAGACCAGGACAGAGGATGCAGGTAGTGAAACTCTGTACTAAAGTGCCCGCTCAAATACTGTGGAATATATATGAAAATAGTGTTGAAAGATTTGCTACTGCTTTGCACTATTACTTACCATGAATTACCTTTCCTGAGATTTTTCCCCCATATTCTTGTGTTACATAACTGACCCAGAATGCACTGTTCATTTACATATACAAAGTCCATAAACTGTCTGTAAAAACTTGGTTTTAGTCGACAGCTCAAGACGCAGTAGATGCCGAGTTGTAGAAAAGAGAAAAGGAGAAAAAACACAGCATTGAAAACAGATTTTATGATATTGGAGAATATCATGTGTGCTTCTCTGTCAAAAAAAAAACAAAGAAAATGTTTGAAGTTGAGAAAAGTCTGCTGCTAAGATAATAAGTACGGTAACTATATTTGTAACCTTGGGACTGCTTTTTAACTTCCTTTTATTTGGCAACCCACTGCGTAAGAGAGAGTGAAAGCACAAGACTGATTGTGTAAACATCAGAGAAAGATGCCATAGAATGATTTGAAATCACATAGAAGTTATATAACTTAATCATTTGAAGCATTTGAAGGCCAGTATATAGCTACGAAGATAGCGTGCACGTGTTTTTATGTTTTTCAAAAGAGTCAAACGTGAAAAACACTGTAAAGTTCGAGGTTCCCACATGGTGATGTGCTGTACACTGTTACCAACATTAACCCCCCTCTTACAGCCAACCATGAGAATCAAACATTAACGCTGCAACAACACATTAAGTGTAATCCTCCACTTATTAAAGGATACTACATGGACATGAATGAGTACTCCCCACCTACAGCATCAGTTTTGCCATTACTTTGCAGTGCACAAGCAGTAGAGTTGGAATAGAAATGGAGTGGGTTGAGTCAAATGTCATTTTCTAAAATACTACAAATCTTTGCTTAGTGTTTATGCAAGGAGACATTTGGCAAAAACACTGTTTCAGTTACACTGAAATGTAACTGTTTGCATAAAGTGGAGGAGTCGTGTGGTGTGAAATACAACACTTTATTAGTCTACAAGTATAGTGAATACTTGTACTTGGGCCTTGTATACTGTGTTCTAATTGCCTGCCTCTGGACTTTGCCTCAGTTCCTGATACAGCTCCCACTGATGTTGGAGGAGGAGGCGGCACAAAGTCTGAATTAGTGATAACATGGGAGGTAAGTCATCAGTCACATTTTACTGTTCTCTCCGTGGCCGAGTAATGGTTTTGCTTAATTGTGCTGAATTGAATGGAGCAATTCTGAGACCCTCATTAGAGCGAGACACCTCACCTCTGACTCTGCCTCCAAGTGCCATTTTATCCTTCCAAACGCAGGGACAGAGAGCACTTCCTATGAAGAGCTTTGCACTTTGGCCACAATTACATAGCAGCGCTAGAAGGAAAGATAAGGTAAAAGGTGACTGCTGAGTGTTCTGGGCAGTAACAGCAAAGAAAGGGGAAGTGTCAAATCACAGAGACCCTGGTCAACACACTGCAGAGACAGGCCTATCTATTTCTTTGTCTGTATGCCTTTTAATATCACTATAGTTTTGTGTTTTGCTCCCAGCCTGTTCCTGAGGAACTACAGAACGGAGAGGGCTTTGGCTACATCATCGCCTTCAGGCCTTTGGGCACAGTCATGTGGACGCGAGCCGTTATCTCCATACCTGGCGTGGCACGTTATGTCTTCCGCAATGACACCATCTCACCCTTCTCGCCTTTCGATGTGAAAGTGGGGGCGTACAACAACAGGGGGGAAGGGCCCTTCAGCTCGATTGCTACAGTTTATTCGGCAGAGGAAGGTATGGGAAATACTTCATCGTCTGCAGCACAGAGTGAGGCTTTAATAAGCTATAATCTCTCTTTTCACACCTACGACCTTGAATAAAAATGATTAAATGAGTTTTTTGTCATACTGTTATTCCCCTTTCCCTCTCATGCTGGGAATGTCAACTTGATATTAGTTATCATGCTGGTAGATTACAGGAAATCCTAGAAGACACTTACTACACTGCTCTGTCAGGGAGGTATGCTGTTAATTGAATTTGTGGGGCAGATAGTCTTCCTTTATGTCATTCACAGATCCCATTAAAAGGGAGCAGGGGGAAATAGCTTTTCAGTGAAACTACAGGTCTTTTTGCTATTAGTGTGTGTGATGGTGCTGTCTGAGTGTCTAAGCTTCTGGGGCTCTATTTCTGCAGTTCCCAGTTTGGCTCCTACGAGGGTTATGACCAGAAGTGTGTCTGCAGACCACATTGAAGTGATCTGGGAAGCTCTCCCTGCCATCCCTGAAAGAGTGCTTGGATACGAGGTATATTGTAATTTTGTTTTTTCAAATAACATGATCATTTATCTTTTTCGTTGGGCTACTTACAGCTACCATCTACCCTTTAATCAAAGTTTTTCTCCGTGGTTTACTCGTAGCATTTTACTTTATCTTTGCATGTATTTCTGTGAAGGTTTGTTTTAAACATTATAATGACCTCAACACTGCGGGTACACCAACACCAAACTCAAAAGAGGAAAATCAAAATTCCCCGAAACCTTCCAAGAATACAAAGAAGGCTGTGTTGTTTTTTCCCCCTCCTAGTGCTCTCACAGTATATGTCAACTCTGGCCCAGCAGTTGCCATAGCAGTGGCCACATTGTTCTTCAGAACACATCTCAAAACCTGATCCTGGACTGGTTTTAAGCCACTGAATCTCAATAGGCCACAATTTGTATGGATCCAGAGCAATGTATGTGTTGTAATCATTCCTTAATTATATGTTCTCAGGTCTACAAATGCAATCTATTTTCAGTTTCTTGAAAACAATATAATTGTGCTCATGGTTCACAAATTTAACTGACAACAACTTTGAAATACAATAATCAATGGGCAATGGAATAACATGATTATTTCTGAGTGCACACTTTCCATTTCAATTTAATTATTTATTATTTAACTAATTTGTCACTTTAGACACATGAATATTAAAGATAACTCAAAGCAAGTGTTGAATTAGCACCTTAAATGACATGATGGAATTTCAATTCATATGAAGTAGATCAACAGAAACGGGTCTTTTACAGTTTGCACTATTTTGTTGCCAACAGGTCGTTTACTGGGAAGATGACACAAAGCCTGACAGTGTCGGAAAAGTGCGCATATCTGGAAACTACACATTAGTTAACATCACTGGGCTGAAAGCAAACACAGTTTACTACCTCTCTGTGGCTGCTTTCAACACAGCTGGCCCTGGGCCACAGTTGGCGCCCATCAACACCACCACAAAGAAACCACGTGAGTCTGTCCCACAGGGGAACTTGTTTTTTTCAAATGGTTGTCCTGCGTGAAATTAGTCATCCCCTATTAAGTCAAATTTGTATTGTCAGTATGAGAAGAACGGCATTTCTTTCGTTTTGTTGATAAGGCTGTGGAAAATTGTTCTAACAAGAGAGCTTTCAGTTTACCTTAACAAAAAGAAAACCAACAGAAAAACAGATACATCCAAGGTTGAGTGGAAAAAAGTAGTGTTTGAGTAGGCTATATGAATATGTATTTGAGATATGCTGCCAGAGACCATGCAATGTTGCAATGTTTTTCTGAAATTAGTTGTGTTTTCTCACTTGGCCAGATTTCAAAATGTGCCTTGTGTCATAAACATTTTTGAACTGTATTTTCTTATTGTGTTATGATCTCTCAGGGCCACCTTAGAATTAATAACTTTATAAGATGAGATAAGATAAGATAATCCTTTATTTGTCCCACAATGGGGACATTTACATTGTTACAGCAGCAAAGAGCAAAGAAGGGTCCTTATAGGGTGCCTTGCTGCAGCTCTTTCTAATTGTAACACTTAAGTCGAGCAGACATTCTATTAATTGTTCTACAAACTGAACCAGCATTAGAAAAGCTATTTTTAGCATATATTTAACTGTGAGTCTTTTTCTATAGCTCCTGATCGGGCCCCACTCAACATACAATGGACCATGATTGGCTCCACACTCACGTTGCACTGGGATCCCGTAGTAGCTTCGGAGACGGAGTCAAAGGTCACTGGATATTTGGTAGGTCCCAATTTGCTGCACCCACATATATCTTCAAAATGAAGAATGGCGTTTCTTGGATAACGAACCTTTTTTTGCATCACCCTCCGCTGCTTCAGGTGCTGCTCAAGAGACATCGCTACAATGACATCAACACCATCTTGACCGACAAAACCACTGTGGAGCTCAACCTCTCTGCAAATGACAACTATCTCATTCAGATCAAGGTCATGAGTGATGGTGGTGAAGGCGTGGGCAGTGAACCTATCCACATTCAGAAATTGAGTGAGTTCAATGTTGTTTTTAAGTCTTTGCACCATTTCCTTTTGGTAATTGATAACACTTTGGACCTGATTCCCTAAGAATGGATTGCAGACACTTTTTGACTCGAGGTCTAATTCACAAATGATTTTGGGCACAAACATGCCCTTAAAGATGTCCTGTGCAGTTTTCTGTTGTTTTGCATCTAAACGTGGAGAGAAGTATATACTCCTCCACTCTGCGTGGAGCTGCACTCTCATGCTGAAGCAGCACCATTTTGTTGGCATACAGATAATGAGCTGGGAAGGAAGGGGAAACTTTTCAAGTTCATTGAGAGACCAGACTAAAAAAAATAGTGTATGGCTTTTATCATTCCAACAGTTTCTTCCTTGATTGTATCAAGAGGAAAAAACAACACTTGCATTTTCGACAAGCTTAACAGCTCCATAGTGTCTCCACAAATTTGGAAGAAGTGTTGCCGCTGACATCCCCGGAGTACGACGGAGGATTAGGGCTATGTTCATTTTTTTTATTTTGAGATTAAAGTCGTAAATTTACGAGAATAAAGTCATAAATTTACAAGAATAATCTCGGAAAGTAACGACTTTATTCTTGTAAATTTACGACTTTAATCTCTAAAAAGAAAAAAAGTTTTAGCGTGGCCCTAATCCTCCGTCGTACAGGAGTGATTTTACCCCTGGTTATATTAATAATAGTCATGTCAAAGTAATTTACTTTGCTGACATAAAAAGAAATCTGAAGTCATACAGAGGTGAGCTTGTCTTCCTGATCACTGGAAAGTTTGAAGGACATCTCTTATAAATATTTTAACACAGTTATAACCTAGCCTCAAGAGATGGTCATTTTTCCATTCTAACTGCGCTGGATAGTGGCCAGTGGGAATTAGACATTTTTTTGCAATGAGGCCAATTTGCATCAAAAGAGGCAATGTGCATAAACATCACCTGCTCACAGAGACGTTTGCTCTGCAGCACAGTTAGTGGTGCATTTAACCCTTAACCTGTAGTATGTGAAATAGACAAGTGTCTGTTTGATTCATTTGCACAGGTTAAGCAACACAAAATACAAATTTGACTTTAGATCACCCATTTCACCCCTGATAAAAGCAACCGCTTTTATTTAAAATGTGTGAAAATTGTCATCAATCTCTGCCATTGGGTTATTATTCCCTGCTGACTTGCTGAATAATGCTGTAGAATAGTAAGCAGCTCTGTGCTATCGTTTAACATCTGGGCAAAAATTTTGAGGCAGCTCAATTTGCAGCTCTGCCCCTTGATGTGATGTGAACTTTGTCTGATAAATCTGACTTTCAAGCAAGTCATAATGTAGACATTTAAAACTATCAGAGTTATCTATGATTTGTGATGTCTTGTCAGAAACGTATCATGTGTTTCCAGGTTTTACTCTCTTGATTCTTTAGAGTTTCTTAGATGTTTTTTTTTTTTTATTGCAGGTATGGGAGCGCGGGGCTCAGGAGCGATCCGCATCAGCCCATGGTGCCTCTCTTCAGTCCTCATCAGTGCACTGCACTTCTCCATCTGGTGATGATGTCTAATCAGAGCCTACAGAGAGCCCTCCCTCCCCACTATCCCCTCAGTCAGCCTGTTCTTTGTTAACCGTCAACTGGACTGGCACGAGGCCCGGGCTACAGATTCAGGGCTGGGAAAGACTGAAAAGGACTGAACTCTGCAGAACTCTTACAACATGACCATGTTATTTTCTTTTCAATCATCATATAGAGATGTGACGATATGTATGCATGATACTTTTTTTTTTTCACCATTTTACCAGGGTCATTAGTGCCACTGGCTCAAGGTTTTACTTTAGTTATGATGTCCACATGAGTTATCTATTTTGGTATCATATGAGATACCACTGCCTTAAAACCCATTTTAGTCCATACCAAAGTAGGTGACAGAGGCTGCTTGCATTAAAAATGTTTTCTTTTTTTCGAGAAAGGGAACTCAAAAGAATGAATCTTCTAAAAGTCAACTTCCCAGCTGGTGATATGCCTATAGTCAATGGTTGCATCAATGTTTAATTGTCTTTAAACTAAACCAGTTCCATTTATAAAACATAAAGTGGAATCCACACTTATCTACACAACTTTTTGCAAAAAGAGAAATCCCATTTGGGGCTTAAAAGTTGAAAAAGCTTGCATCAGAAATGCATAACATATTAATCAACTCGAAACTCAGATATTTCCAAAACTGATATTACATCTACTTGGGAGCCACAGGCTACATAACTTTAGGCTTCTCAGTACTGTGGTTGTTCTTGGCCTTCTATCTCATCCTACCATAAATAATGCATATTACACACCACATTCTTGGTCTAAAAAGAGAGCAGGCAATCTAGAGAATTGAGACATTTGGTTTTTACCAAGTCAAACAGATCCCATGTTTAATGTTGGTCTTTAGATACATATCTCATATTACTAAACATGCAAAGTCACCACCCCTGATGACCAGCAGGCCTACTGCACAATGACCTAAAGAATAACAGTGCCTTCACTAGAGCTCACACCACCCCTTTTTCCTTTCCTTTCCTTTCCCTATAGCTTAAGAGGAGATGAGACATTGTTTTCTTTTTTAATACATCAGACAGGGGTTATAAGAAACTTCAAATGTAGAGAAGGAGGTCAAAGACAGAAAGGCAAAGGGGGAAAGGGTCAGAAAGGGTTGGAAGCTTTAGGAAAGCTGTATGTGTATATATATATTTTCATCTGTGGCATATTTTTCAGCTACAAGGCATCAAAATGATTGATGCTAAAACCACGGTGGTGGAGTCCTGACATGAAATTGAGTGAAATGAATGACTGTCACTTTACTCCAACCCAATTACCATCAATTTGAAACATACCACAATGATGAACAGTTACAAAAGAACACTGCTACTCTGCTGAGGGAGCTACTTTTTGCTCTTTTATCGTGCGACTGAGTCTTTCGAAGCCACCTGAGTAAGAGTTGAGGTGTGATCACTGCGGTCCTGTAGATGTGGAAGTATACAGTCAGCTGAAATGCTACACATAACTGTGCCTTTGATGAACATGGGGCTGGGTAGGTCATACGCTTTGGAAGCTGTCATTGTCTGTATTTTTGCACTGCCTGCTCCCCTCCCCTGCTACCCCAAAGTCGAATGAAAGCACAACGACTTGATGCAAGGTGACTGCGTGTCCTCACTTACATCTGAACAGGTGTGCAGACCCCAGAGGCCTCATAAAAAGTCCAAACAGCCGACATAAGAACATAATAAGGTTGTCCTATGTGCTGCTCTTTTACTGGTTTCATAAAGCTCTGTGCTTGTTGATTAGACTGCTGCAGACAAGTCAATGGGATATTGATTTTCCTGTCCCATTATTACAGCTGTCACCATATAGCTGCTTGATTGACTAATGACGATGTTCTTATTGGACTTGTTTTGTTGGATTATAGTCAATGATGTTTCAGATGTCCTTCACTGCTATGACCTTCAAATCCAATCTTTTTCTGATGTTTGCCTAAACGAGAAATCCCTCTTCAGCGGCTCACATATGTTTATTTCTATGTAATTTAAATTGTATCGGTACATGGTGACTTTTGGATTACAGCACTGACCTACCGTTGATTCTTTGAGTTGTATATCAAACTGTACTGTAGCATAAAAGCTCAGTCACACCAGCAATTAGAATAAATGAATTGCTAAATCAGTTTGTTTAACTGCTGTAGTTAGCGGATCACGTATATGGAAAAGAAAATCCATGTCAAATTTTGCATTGAGAACAATTCATTTGATTTTTGTTGCTGTCTTGCCATTGCTTACCTGTGAAGGAACTGAAGAAGCCAAAATTAGGCAAGCTGGCATAGTTTATTTGCTTTGTTGCATTCACCACTTTAACTGTATCCTTCCTTGAAGTCCCACAACCTGCATAAAATAGAGACGACATGTTTTTAGGCAAATAATGTGTCCAGCTTTGATCCTCTTAAACTTTTAATTAACTCAAACTAAGTGACCTGTTATTAATCAAGTCAACGACGGTGATAACACACTTCTGTATTGATTGAAAAAAATGTCCTTCAATCCTGAGAACGAAATGACTTACGTTATTATGTTACCACAAGCCTCTAGCAAAGTTTGTTTCACAAAGATATGCAGATGAAAATCCTTTTGCCACTTTCTGGTGTGACCAAGCCTCAGAGCAGTGTATGCAAATACTTGAACAAAGTGATGTTAGTATATCTGTTAATATCCAAATAAGGTAACCTTAAAGCCAGATGTCAGACTCATAGGCTATTAAGTAAAAGTGCTTCAATGTGTGGTAGTTTCTCAGAGCTTTCTTGTTATTACACAATAGTGATTTAGCTTAATGTTTCTTACTTCTGGTCATGATAATATAAAAAAACAAACCTATTGTTTTTTTGCCTTGTGCTTCAATAAAATTTAAAGTACGATCTAAAGGACATGATTGGGGCCACCAGCTGAAATGGTTTAGATATATTGATACCAGAACAAAACATATCTATTAATATTCACAAGGTGAGTCTTTTTTTATTGCTTTCTGTGTTATGTTGTTATTAGAAAGGAGTGTACCTGGAACAGTGTAAATAGCTTGCATATATTTTTAAACCATAGCCATCAAAGGCCAACCTTATTGCTCTTATATAGTGTGTTCTCCTACCTTAATACTGGTGTATTAATCAATGATCTCTGTGAGATACTGACATGTAGAATGGTATTTTCATATTGAAAAGTAACTGTTTTGTGTTCTATACTAATGTGCATGTTAATCATTGTTTATGAATTTGTGTTGGGTTTTTCTAAGCTATACCTTAATAAAAATGGTTATTCCAGCCAGCCAGCCATTTGTCTGCAATTGCAAAAATCACACTAACAACATTCATCCATTGCAAATTAGCTTATCTTAAACTCTTATCATTACTGAGGCCCTTTAGTAAGATTTATTTCATATGATTACCATTTGTTTATTATGTGTTTTACATTGTGCTTTTTCCTGAATAAAGTTTTATCATAAAATGATCACTGATACACAGATCATAGGGCTAATATCAAAGAGGCAAATGAGCATACCGCACATAAAGGGGGGTATTACTTTTCTAAAAATCATGATGTTTTCCAAAAACTATTCAAATTAAAATTACTTAATTGCGTCTGAAAGTTTTCAAATTTGTGTAAAACCCTGTGATTTGAGGGAAACTGTGGGTATTCCATTTCAGAAGGGGAGGTCACTCAAACTCGAGAAAGATAAAGGGTAAGGGTAACTCCAACCCGTCCCAGAGGGAGAGGTTACTTTATCTCTGAGTCAGTTACTATGGTAACTGTGAACCATTCAGTCCGTATCACGCACGTGTTAGTGAAGATTCACCGTTTGTCTGAATAAAAATCCAGGTTGTTTTAATATATGTTAGGGTGGCAATACTACAGCGTATAAGACTAATTTTTTTTTATCAAACATGGCATGTCCTTTACTCGAGCCTCGGTATGAAGGGGCTGCATTAGGCTACTCCGCTGGGAATTAGAGCCTACATTAACATCGGGAGATGTTAATTTAATTAGTTAATTAATCAACTAAACGGGATAAAGGTGAGAGGACATTTAGCCTATGTGTGTGAATACAGAATAATGTTGGGGATAAAGTTAATGCACATTCAAATAGACTCTGAATGAAGTTAACTTTAAATCTATATGAACCTATCATGTTCTTATATTTTATTTTGAGCTGTTTGCTTTTATTCAGCTGGATTGCATCTTCTGTATTCTATATCTATAGGTTTAATACCATTCCACCAGTTTTGACCTGCAATATTATAATTCTGATTAAATATTAAATTAGTAGACTTTACGCGCTGAATCATGCAGCTGTTTTCTCTTACACCACTTCATTCTCCGTCGCAGCGGTGTTACTTTTTTTCCCTTCCTAAAACCTGTTTATATTCGCCGTAGCCTGTGGCCACATGAAGATATTGATGTATTTCGAGATGGTTAAAGTACGACAATTTCTTTTTTGTCACCTGTTGCCATGGTGAATCGTAGAATCAGGGCTCCATTCATGGTGGCTTTTTATCGTCGTGGTGCACGCTCTGAACACCAAGTGAACCTACTCAGAGTTGACTTAACAAATTTTAAATCTGCTGATCTGGAACCGAAATCTCAGAGTTTCCCACCTGAGAGTAAATCAACTCAGAGCTCAGGGTTAGACTGAGGGTTTGTTGAACCTTCATTTAGAAACGGGGCCCAGTTCAGCAGAGATGTTATATAAAATGGTGTACTTCTAATAATTGATTTATAGATATAGACATAAATGTGATTATAACGTCTCTGTGCCTGCTGATGAGTGACGAGTCTCATAGGCCTGCCTATAGATGGTATCGCCATAATCAATCATAAAGACTGCTTCAACGATCTACAATCAAGAGGGAAGTTAACTTTGTTTCTGTACAGAAGCCCATGTTTCTGTCTTAGGTTTGCCTGTGAGATTTTCCATATGATGCTTAAAAGTAAATGATTCGTCCAGCCAAACGCCAAGATATTTATACACTCTGACCCTTTAAATACTGTTGCCTTGAGTGTGGATAATTGTTAAAATCAATATATGTGGCTTTGGTCAAGATAATGTACTTGGTTTTGCTGGATTTAAGGACTAGTCTTAAGCTGATAAATGTCTTCTGAAGAGTATTACAAGCAAATTGTAGTTTCTCTACAGCAAGTTGTGCAGAGTCAGCAGAACAATGTAATACAATGATGTCTGCCTATAGATGAATGTTACAGTTTGTGATAGACCAAACAACATTGTAAATATAGATTGTAAATAAGATAGGGCCCAGAACTGACCCCAGTGGAACGTTAATGACAGAAACTCAGATTGAATATTTCCAACCATAATCGTAATTTTTATTTGATTATTTACCAGTGATTCCAAGATTTTTGACAGACAGGGCAATTTTGATATTGGTTGGTTATTATAAGGATCACCATTGTCCCCGCCCTATACACTGTATCAGTCCATATCTGCAGTTGCAATGTTATTATATGATTTAGATATCTGCATCAGCGGAATTTGCAATAACTTGTTAAGGCTCATCACTGGGAAAGTCTACTCGAATAAAAAGTTATCTTAAGTTTATATAGGACCCTATCTTACATCTGGTGCAAAACCCAATGCAGTTGTCGTTTTCTTGCCCAGCGGCCAGGTTGTGTAAATAGAAACTGAACTTTAGCCTATTTAGCGCAATCGGGCGTTAATTTACAGGCAACTCTAGGATGTAGAATAAGGATTTGGAAATGAAAGTCTTCTGGTCTCTTCAAAGAAATCTGCCATTGTGCTAACTGCATTAAAAACATGTAAATGACAAATTAATTTATACTCTGCATTTAAGTGACAAAGAGATCAAAGAGCAGGCTGGCTGACATCTCAACATCTTTTTTTCTTTCATGGTTACATCTAAGAATTGAATAGTCCCAGTTTCCCTCGATGCAAATTTATTCAGAAGGATTAGCTGGAATATTGAGTTAATTAAAAAATATAAAGCAGTTATCTTAACACAGTCTGTCTCCCATCCACTGACATACAAGAAAAAAGCTAAGTTGAATTAGATTCAGAAATTTTAGGCTAAAGTTGTGGTATATAGATGAGCCACATCTTGACAAGACGCAGGGGAAGAAGAGCTAATTTCATCACATTTTTGGTTTTCATATACTGTAGATTAAATTAGATATTGGGCGTTAAAGCCTTCAAACTTAACAGCATGAGTGGATCTTGATAGTGTTGGGCAGAGTCAGGCTTGTACAAATAGTCTGTAGCCATGCCAGCAGCGATGTGAGCAGCTCTTTGGGGCAGCTAACAGCTGTGCTCTGTTTTTCAGCTAAAGGCAAACCTCAGCATGCGGATGTGTTCACACTGATTATGTTAACGTGCTGATAACTGAAGGATAGAGGGCATTATTTAACAAATGCATAGAATTAGTTCAGCCTGTGTCTTATTAACTTCCTGCAGCTCTAAACTCAAGCTAAAGCAGCAGGCTGATGAGCTTGCTGGGAGCAACAGCGAATGAGTCCTTAAAATCATAAAAACATGAATTCAAGAATTTTTGAACAATACTGCTGTCCTTAAAGCAGTGCTCTAAAAGTCCAGCAATAGTTGGAATTGTTGAAATATTTTCAATTATGTATAAGTAGAAAGCCTATTTATTACAGAAAAATGCTTTAAGCAGTGTTGTTCAATGCCAGGAAAATAAGTAATCATGTGAAGAAAATACTAAAAAAAACTTTGTTTGCAAGAGAGGATAGTGTGTTACAATGTGGAAATTGTTATAAACCTACTTACTGTGCCTCTATTTTTTTAGTATTACAAATATTGTCAATAAGTATGACACAGATTTGGGCGTATATTTAGAATTGTTTTAACTGTACTGTATGAAAGTGTTTAAAAATAGTACAAGTGTGAGACAATGCAAAACAAAGCTGAGGAGATAGGAGACAGTAAAGACATTTTCAAAACACTTCGACAAAAATCTAGGAAAGAAAAGAAACAAGGTAACAAACAAACAAAAGGATGAAGGTTTGGGTAGTGTTTAGATGACAGGGTTTGGGGCTGCAGGAGTTTTAGGCTCGGAGCTCCACTGCTGGTGATAAAAGGTGGCGCTGTGAGGGGTTTGATGGGATGATTGCTTTGGTTTCAGGGCCAAAAATAGCAGCCCCAAAACCCTTGGAGAAGACTTGCCACTGCAAGTCCTACCTTTATACCTTAATAAACCCAGACAGTTTTAGGTGTACACATGTAGGTATAGGGCCACCAGACCAGAGGAAGGTGCCTCCCAACAACAGCACATGCATGTTTTCTGTTTTTAGTATCATTCTTCTGTTAACATATTGTGTTGTCTTGACCCTCCCTCCTGGACATCTTAAATTGTCGTCAAAAACTAGAAGAGGCAATGGAGATAGCAGTCTGTGTTAAGGGGTTGATCCTGTATGGTTCCTGGTTGGTCAGACGGGAGGGAGTATGCAGGTGACAATATGTGTGAGAGAGAGAATAAATGTTTAAAATAAAAAATGTATCTTTATTACATTTGTGCCTGTAGTCTTTTCTATGAACTTGCCAAATTGTATTTAGCTTAATGTCCTGTGACTAATAGTTCTATTGCCAGTTAAATTGTGCTGCAGTGCATGGCAGCAAATGAATCCAGTACATGGACCTTGTGGTTGACATTGATAGATGATCTTCCTCATGTGTCTTTTTTTTCTATACCATAAAGTATGAGTTTTCAATTAAAACAACTTGAAAGGCTTCTGTCCAGTCTCAGATTAAAAATGCTTTCATATTAAATCCTACCCTGTATCCATGCAAAATAGGGCTGAAACTAACTTTAACTAAATTATAGATGATAATGAACACATTATATTTTCAGCCTAGCGTGGAAGTCAGGTTGCAAATTTAGAGCCTTGAAAGTATTAACCATGTTAGCATGTCCTTTTTTAATATGCCCGTAAATCCAATTAAATGTTATATAAAATGTCATAACAGAAGAAAGCTGTATTTTTAGATCAAATTGACCCAACAAATCTTGCCATTTAAAAAACTGTTGTTAAAGAAAGTTTACATTTTTATCATTGATTTACACATTCATTTTAATAATTACACATTCTTTTGTAGGTTTTTATTCTTTATTTCCAAAATCGATGGGAGAACAATTGTTCATTTAGAGATTTGATTAGATTTGAAGTTGAAGGAAATTTGCCATACCTTACCTTTCGGTGACAATTTTAAGCAATAACATTAAAAAAGTACAACAGCAGTTCAACAGCATACTTGCTCAACAATTGATCTAACACAAAGACTTGACCTTCAGTCGAAATAAGTCATCAGGCTGTAAATAGTTTCAGGCCACTTGTTCTCAATACACGAAGCACAAGCAAAGAACAAAAATGTATTTTCAAACTGCTCTGCAAAGCAAACCATGTCTCTGTGCTCCAGTGCTGTTTGCCCCTATTTTACTTTG